TGTGAAGAATAATAATTTTCCCTTTCTAGTGTTTTTACCTTTTATTTCTCTAATTTGCATTACTGTGCTAGCTAGAACTTCCTAATAAATAAAGTTGAATTTACCATAGATTTTTTTTTAATATGAATTTTTTAATTTTTATTTTTTTTATTTTAGAGAGAGTGAGCATGAGCAGGGGAACACAGTGGGGGCGAGGGGAGGGAGGTTGAGAGAGAGAGAGAGAGAGAGAATGAATCCTGAGCAGGCTCCATGTTCAGTGAGCAGCCTGACATAGGGCTCAGTCCCAGGACCCTGGGATCATGACCTGAGCCAAAATCAAAGAATCTGATACTTAACTGACTGAGCCACCCAAGTGCCCCTGAATTTACCATAGATTTTTGGTAGATAAGTTTTATCAAATTAAGGAAATTCTTTTCCAGTCCTGGTACAGTATGAGTATTACCTATGGTGCTGAATTTTATCTAATGCTTCTTTGGGGCACCATCATCGATTGAAATGATTGTATGCTTATTTCCTTTAATACATTAATGTATCTTTTGTTACTAGATTTTTTAAATGTTAAACATAAACATTTCTTTTCAATTAAAATTAGGTTATTTTTCTTTTCTTTTTAATTTTTTACATTTATTTATTTTTGAGAGACAGAGCATTTAAGTGGGGGAGGGGTAGAGAGAGAGGGAAGACACAGAATCTGAAGCAGGCTCCAGGCTCTGAGCTGTCAGCTCACGAACTGTGAGATCATGACCTGAGCCGAAGTTGGATGCCTAACCGACTGAGCCACCCAGGCACCTCAAAATTAGCTTATTTTTTAAAGGGGAAGAATAAAATGTATGTATATGTAGGTTTATAAAATTCATCTGAGAGTAGCAGTTCTTTGCTTACTGAAATCCACTCCTAATTCAGCTGTATTCACTGATTTTTTTTTTTAATGTTTTATTTATTTTTAGGAGAGAGAGAGAGAGACAGCGTGAGCAGAGGAGGGTCAGAGAGAGAGGGAGTCACAGACTGAAACAGGCTCCAGGTTCTGAGCTGGCAGCCAGCACAGAGCCCGACGCGGGGCTCGAACCCACGAACCGCGAGATCATGACCTAAGCGAAAGTCGGACGCTCAACCGACTAAGCCACCCAGGTGCCCCTGTATTCACTGATTTCAACCCATCTTTAATTAGAGGTTTTTTGTTTTTTTTTTTTAACAACTTTAACTTTCATCTCAAATGCCCACATTCCTAGAGAAGATGATAAACAGTAAAATCATTAGAAACATAGTGATACAAATAGTAGGGAAAAACAATTGAAGAATGTTTAAAAGGATAAATAATGCTTATTTAGTAGGTGCAATTCAATGATATAAGACACGTTAGTTATGAGTGCTAGTATTATAGTAATCTAGTGAAGAAAATTTACCTATAGGATTAAACGAAAGGCAAATAAGCATGTTACTTACCATATATTTATTTTCCTTTATCTATTTACTTTTAAAACATTAACCCAGAAGCAATATGTGCTTATTTGAAATGTATCCTGCCAACCTTTTTTAATACAAAAAAGTATTCTCACATTTTTAATAGAATAATGTAGACATTTTGAAACTACTATGCATTTGTATAAAAGATCTAGAATGCTAATACAATCTCATCAGTCTCTCTTTTTTTAGTTAAAAATTGCAGAGGTGATTCCAAAGTTTATTTGGATGAAAGTTTAGCAGTGAGTACTGTTTTCTCTTAAATCTTCCCTACAAAAGTACTCACGGATGTGCTCACATGCAGACACACACAGGCAAATAAAATATATAAAAGGGCATTCACTGGAAAATTTGTAGTATGAAAAACCAGTTTAACGATCCATCACTAGGGACATGAAGTCCAGCCTTGTAAATGAGATATCCTGCAGCTGTGAAAAAGAATGATATAGTTCCATATTAGTATATATAGATCTATTTAAGATACATAATGAGAAAAAAGATCAAAGCCCAGAATGTTTCTAATGTTTTACCATTTGTGCTCTTTTTTATTAAGAGGGAAGGAAGTGTGAGTGTGTGTGCACGCGCACACACATAATTATCATGCACCCATACTGTGGAATAATAAGCCCCTAAAAGGAATGTAGTAACATAGAAGGATTCCCTAAGACATACTGTTAATTTAAAAAATAATAAAACTGGGACACCTGGGTGGCTCAGTCACATAAGCATCTGACTCTTGGTCTCAGCTCAGGTCATGATCTTGAGGTTTGTGAGTTCAGGCCTACATTGGGCTCCTTGCTGGTAGGGCCAGAGCCTGATTGGGATTCTCTCTCCCCCTCTCTCCTTGCCCCTCTGAGAACACTGCTTGTTGTCTCTCACTCTCTCCCAAAAGAAATAAATAAACTTAAAAAAATTTTAATAAGTAATAAAATAAGTCATGGAACATGTATTATCTGATCTCATATAAAAACAAAGTTGCATGGGGGCACTTGGCTGGTTTGTTTAGTCAGTAGACCATGCAATGAGATCAAGCCCCACATTGGGTGTAGATTTTACTTAATTTAAAAAAAGTTACATATGCATTTTCATCTTTGAAAGTGCATATCATGGGGCGCCTGGGTGGCTTAGTCGGTTAAGCATCCGACTTTCACTTAGGTCATGATCTCGCGGTTCGTGGGTTCGAGCCCCGCGTCGGGCTCTGTGCTGACTGCCAGCTCAGAGCCTGGAGCCTGTTTCAGTCTGTGACTCCCTCTCTCTCTGACCCTCCCCTGCTCACGCTGTCTCTCTCTCTCTCTCTCCTAGAAATAAACATTAAAAAATTTAAAAAAAAAAGTGCATATCAAAAGATCAGGATATATACATACCTAATTACTAATAATGGGTTTTTTAATGTTTATTTTTTTATTTTTATTTTTTACAAATAGTTTATTGTCAAATTAGTTTCCACATAACACTCAGTGCTCATCCATGCCACAAGTGTCCTCCTCCATGCCCATCCCCCCTCCCCCCCACATCCATCAGTCCTCAGTTTTTGTCAGCATTCAAGAGTCTCTCATGGTTTGCCTCTCTCCCTTTCCCCCACCATTTCCCCCCTTCTTCTACCCCTGTTCCTCCGTCAAGTTCCTCCTAATCCTCCTATACGTGCAAACATATGGTATTTGTCCTTCTCTGCCTGACTTATTTCGCTCAGCATAACACCCTCAAGGTCCATCCATGTTGCTACACATGGCCAGATTTCATTGTTTCTCATTGCCATGTAGTATTCCATGGTATAGATAAACCATAATGTTTATTTTTGAGAGAGAGAGAAAGAGAGACAGAGTGTGAGCAGAGGAGGGGCAGAGAGAGAGAGACATAGAATCTGAAGGGGACTCCAAGCCAGATGTAGGCCTTGAACTCAGAAACTGTGAGATCGTGACCTGAGCTGAAGTCAGAGGCTTAACAACTAAGCCACCCAGGTGCCCCTAATAATGGTTATTTCTAAAAAATACTTGAAGGGGGGGAAGTTGAGTTGGGAGGAAGTCTTTATTCTATAGATCTATATTTGAATTTTTTATGAGACATCATTCATGTATTCTATAATAAAGGAAAAAAGTAAAATGTGCTCACTACAGTAAATGAAGACTTAAAGATAAAATTAAAATAAAAAATATAAAAAATATCCACAGTAGCCTAAATACCCACACATACCCTGAGATAACTACTGTTAAAGGCTTGATAAACATCCTTCCAGAGGTGAGGGACATTTTGTGGAAGACATTTAATCTTTAAGCCAAGAAGAAGGAGAGAAAGAGCACCACTTAAAATATTTACACTTAGCTCAGCAGACAATAGCCATGTTTTTTAAGTAGAAAAATAACATGATAGCATGTAGCTTGTTGTCTGTTTTGATTTTACTTTTCATTGTATCCTCAGTGCCTTTATAGCACGTAATAGTTCTTAGTAAATATGTGTTTAAGAAATGAGTGATGGTTGGGATGCCTGGGTGACTCAGTCGGTTAAGTGTCTGACTTCAGCTCAAGTCATGATCTCATGGTTCATGAATTCAAGGCCCATATTGGGCTCTGTGCTGACAGCTCAGAGCCTGGAGCTTGCTTCAGATTCTGTGTCTCCCATTCTCTCTACCTCTCTCCAACTTGCACTCTGTCTGTCTCTCAAAAAATAAACAAAACATTAAAAAGTTTTTTTTAAAAAGAAATGAGTGATGGTGATCTACTAACCATTGGTGAAGCTCTTCCAGTTCTGAAGCCCAAGATTAAGAAGTCAGGCTGGTCGACTATTAGAAAACTACCAACTATAATTAGATCACATTGGGCAGATACTCATTACTTATTACTTCCTGTAGTTTGGATTAGCACCAGTATCATTTAATAACACTGTCTTCTCAAATCTGTGCAAGGCAGGGAAAGCTTTCACTAGGGCAAACAGTCCAGGGTGGCACAGAAAGCTTTGTTTAAGGGGCATCTGTGTGGCTCAGTCAGTTAAACATCCCAACTTGAGTTCAAGTCATAATCTCATGTTTTGTGGGTCCAAGTCCCACATCAGGCTCTGTGGTAACAGCTCAGAGCCTAGAGCCTGCTTCAGATTCTACGTCTCCCGCTCTCTACCCGCCCCCCATGCTCTATCTCTCTCAAAAGTAAACATTAAAAAAAAAGAATAACCTGATAAAAGTTTAAAAGAAAGAAAGAATACCTAACCTTTTCATCTGCTAAGGGCCTCTGGCATTTGTCCCCTTTATAGGCCTTGTCTCATACCCAGAATACTTCTGTACATGTAGCAGAGAAAGGTTTTATTCAGTTACCCATGAAGAAAAGATAGATAATATAAACTGTAGGATTTGGCTTTTCTGTTCTTATGCCTGTCTTCTAGTCAGACAGCCATCAAATTGAAACTGCTTCATTCAGAAATGGTTTTTTATATACATAAGTTTACATAAAGGATAATTATAACTTTATAATTAATTATCATGGAAACAGAACAAGTTTCTAAATTTTTTTTACAGAAACATTAATTTGTACTATTTGTGTTTTTCTTCTTAGTTTCTGCCACTGCCTTCTACAAAGCACAACCTGTAATTCAATTCATGTGTGAAGTTCTTGACATTCATAATATTGATGAGCAACCAAGACCACTGACTGATTCTCATCGGGTAAAATTCACCAAAGAGATAAAAGGTGAATTAATTAGCATTTGGAACAACTTAACTATAAAATGCATGAATATAACAAACTTTTATTGAAAAAATGTTTAAAGTGTCTTTATGTAACATCATCTGTAAAAAAAGATCAGTTATAAAATGTTACATTAAATTCATTACCATTACATCTTAGATAACTGTTTGAAAGAAATGCCAAATAATGAAATTAATATTGATACCAGCTAATATTTTATTAATACTTTGCATCACTAACTACAAGAATAAGAGTATCTCATGGGAAAATGCTTCTATAATATTGTTAAAAGTAGGAAACTTATTCCAAAAACATCATTAGGTCAGAACTGGAGTCATTATTTTTATATATTCTAATATAATGACATCCTTATTTTTCTAAAATGATAGAATATTTTATTCCTTTGAAATTTTATAGATATGGGACTCGCTAGCCTGTTTCATGTGTTATTTTAGAATTGGAATTTCATTATTTCATATACATTCTACAGTTGATCATTGATCTTGCCTATTTTATTTAGAGCTAAAATTTGTACAGTGGTGTTGCATCCTATGTATTTTACTCATATAAATTCATCTCTGTAAGGTCTTCTAGAGAGAAAAAGAAAAAATTTTAATAGTGTTCTAAACTTTGTATTGTATATAATTCATTTTTATCTAAATGTACATCTTTATGTACACTTAAATATACATTTATAGTTTTATATGCAAGCCTATTGACACTGTACTTTATTAGTAATTGAAGGGATTTTTCAAGAGTAATTTTGATTGTGTAAAATTCTTGCCTTGTTCATAACTTAGAACTTAATCCTCATGTAACATGTGACTCCACTGGGGGCACCCAGCTGGCTTAGTTGAACTTGCAACTCTTGATCTTGAGGTTGTGAGTTTGAGTCCCATGTTGGGTGTAGAGATTACTTAAAATATTTTTAAAAATCTAAAAAGATGTGACTCCACTGTATTTAGTTTTTATTATTTAGGCAAGAAGAAAAATTAGATATCCTCTAATTAGAATGAGTAGTACAAATTCTATTTATATTAAGAAGAAAAATTAGATGTTCTCTAATTAGAATGAGTAGTATAAATTCTATTTATATTGTGTTAAATCTTAAATTGTCAAAAGTGTTTTTTTTTTAATTTTAAGATTTTGACTGTTGCAGATAATTTGCAGCTTCTGGTTTGAGTGAAACATTGAATTTTGTTCACTGAACATCTTTCAGTTCCCTGAATAAGTTAGAATAGCTCAGTGCATTCTGCTTGCTCCAATAATCATTCATTCTTTGCCATTCAATACCCAGAGGAGAGAAAGAGAGTCAATGTAATAAAACATTAAAAAAAAAAGTCCTTCCTGTTTTGAAAATGAGCATCCATTTGTCTCAATTTATTTAAATGCCAAAATAACAAAATGTTATATATTGGTGTATTGCAACCATATCGTTGTCCTTTCATAATCTGTATTAACTGCACAGCTAGCATTGTTGAGAGATTAGTGCATTACCCACCATTAATGTGTGATCATCAAAATCCATGGTTTCCAGTGGAGTTGCTGCTTAGTTACCACCTCTGATATCATGAAGTCACTTACATTATTTTGCGGTAACTATGCAATCAACTCATATCACCACTCTATCACAGAAAATACAAGATGTACAGAACAAGGATTCAACTGCTGCCCGAAGAGCATGGACTCGATCTTAACTTCAACTGCTCAGGGGCCCAAAGAAATGACTGAAAAAATGACTAGAAAGCATTATAAAGTTGATGTTAGAGTGAAGGTAAAGCCAAGTTTATAGGTTAAATATTTGATTTATTAAAGCCAAAAACTTTTTTTGGTTGGATGGAGGGTTTTGGGAGGGACCTGGGCAGAGAATTATCTAGTTCATTTTTTTTTTTAATTTCAACTTTTTGCTGAGTCCTAGGTTGAGTCTAATTCTTAGGCACCTTTGACCCTAGATTTGGGGCAGAAAAATCTCAGTTGGATCTAATTGACCAACTGATGATTTTTTTCCTCCATTCAAATTCAAAAAGGCTTTTCTTTCTTTTTTTTTTTTTTTTTTTTAAAGAAGGCTCTTTAACATACATCATGTAATCCTACCATGGAAACTCAGGAGAATCAAGGTTATATGTTCTGTGCTATATATTTGGGCTTAACTTTTTAGCCAGCATTAAGGAATTTGATGGTAACTATTAAGTAGTGATACAAAATGTACTGTAACAAATAGATTTACCTAGTATATTAATTTAGGTCCAGTTGAGCTTTTTCCTAAATATTCAGTAGTAACTTTCAGGTTATTCCTTTGTATAATTTCTCATAATGGTTAAACAGAAGTATTAGAGGAAGTGTATATAGTAAAAGTACCATATATTTATTAAAAAACCAATTTATTTTTGGCAAAAACTTATTTAGTAGGCTATTAGAATATTACTAATAACTTCTTTAATTCAGGGGGAAGACTTGAAAACAAATGGCTAGGTGGTATAGATAACAGAAAAAAATTTATAATTTTTCTATTGTGTTCCCTCCCTAAACAATATTTTTACATCCTGCTTACTTCATATTACTTCATATCGCTTACTTCAGATTTCCTTCTTCTGAGGCCTTCTCACGGTAGTATTTTATTTTCTAGTTTCCTTTATAATATAGAAGCATAGTTTATACTCCAGTTGATCTGAAATTTTAGTTTTACAATAGTAATTACCAAAAAGAACTATGTCACTGATTCAGTTAGAACTTCTCAAGAAAAATCCATACCAATCTGGTATAGTGACACTATGTGCATTTTACATCTTAATTTGTGCTGATATATCAGAAGAAAATATTACTATGAATGAACTTTGTATTTGGTACTGTAGTTAGTAATTATATAGGAAAATAAATTACACTGTTGCAGGGTTTCTCAACCTTGCCACTATCGATATTTTGGGCTTGATAATTCTTTGTTGTGGTCTGGGGTGGGAGGTAGTGCTGTCCCGTGCATTGTAGGATATTTAGCATCCTCCTTGGATCCAGGAGTCCCTAAATCTAGCACGTAGTAAATGCCCATAGCAAACACCACTCCCCCCCCATCATGACAATTAAAAATGTCTCCAGATATTACCAAATGTTCTTTGGAGGGCAAAATTGCCTATGGTTGAGAACCACTGCACAATAGGAATCACAAATATAATAGGGGAACAATGTAAAAGTAACAGCCATAAATACTATCAAAACTAAAAGTTGTCCTTCATCTACCCCTTTTTAGATTTTTTGCCTTTGGAGTCTAGGTCATAGTAATGGAGTTGCTTATCTATAAGCAAGTAGCAACTGTATCAGTTTGTTAACTCTTCTCTATCTAGGTAGCTCCAAGATTGCATTAAATTAATGAAATTAAATTTTCACTTTCTTAGTCACACTAGCCACATTTCATGTACTCCGTAACACATATTGCTAGTGATTACATATTAGCACAAATGTAGAACATTCTGTCATTTCAGAAAGTTCTATTGGACAGCACTGCTTAAGAAAATTAATCCCAAAGATTTCACCAGTGGTTTAAAAGACATTGCTTTACTTTTTTTCTTTTTTAATGTTTATTCATTTTCTAGAGACAGAACACAAGCGGGGGAGGGGCAGAGAGAGAGGGAGACAAAGAATCCAAACAGGCTCCAAGCTCTGAGCTTCAGCACAGAGCCTGACGCAGGGCTTGAACTTGGGAACAGTGAGATCATGACCTGAGCAGAAGTCGGACACTTAGCCAACCGAGCCACCCAGGCACCCTGCAGTTGCTTCACTTTCTAAAGCAGGCCTGGGATCTTCAAACTCCTATGGTCCGTAAAGGGATTGCAAGGATCCAGGAACATCTATGTGTATATGCAGTTTTGAGAGTTTACTGCTTTCATCAGATTCTCAAATGGGTCAGTGATTCCTTAAGAAGGCAGGATCACCTACTCCAAGAATTATTTAGGTTGCGTTTAATTTCTAATAATAGTAAGAGTTGTATCACTATATTATACTTCAACTAAATTGTCACTCTGCCTCTGTTAAAAGGGCCTGGAATTTTCTGCTTCCTACTTTAAAAATCTTTAAAGGACTTACTTCTGAGATTTATTAAATTCTAAACATCAGTCACTGTGTGATGACTGGACTATTCACATATCACATACTTTAAAAATTGTGGAGTATAAGAATTGTTATAACTCTTCTTTCATTCCTCATTCCCTTTCCCAGGATAAATACCTAAATTTATTATAAACATTTGTTTTGTTTTTAATTAATAGAGAACTTTGTCCCTTGCTCTATAGGCTTTGCAAATTTTATGATTGTTTTTTGATATGTAGATCTTGATAGGATAAGGAAAATATTTGGAGATAGATCTATCCTGATTATAATCATCACTAGCAATGTTATTTATTAAATTCTTTGTTAATTATCACATTGCCTATATTACAAATTTTCTGTCTGTTTAGAATATGAGTTTTATGGTAGTGAGCAGACTTTATAAATATTTGATGTGTGACAGTTCTATAACCTCAGTTTTTCTTGTTGGGAACAGGTCTGAAGGTTGAAGTGACTCATTGTGGAACAATGAGACGGAAATACCGTGTTTGTAATGTAACAAGAAGGCCTGCCAGTCATCAAACGTAAGAAAAGCTGGTGTTTGTCAGAGTAGAGATGATTTGAGGCAGCTTGCTCTAGTTAGTGGATTGGGAGTTTTGCTCACCATAATGAGATGAGAGTTGTTAATGTGTACTTTTTTTTTTCTTTCAGCTTTCCTTTACAGTTAGAAAATGGCCAAACTGTGGAGAGAACAGTAGCACAGTATTTCAGAGAAAAGTATACTCTTCAGCTGAAGTACCCACACCTTCCTTGTCTGCAAGTGGGGCAGGAACAGAAACATACCTATCTGCCACTAGAAGTAATGTGTTTAGGCTGTTTCTTAATGTCCTCTTGTTCATCTTTCTGTTGGGAGTTTTATGGCATATAACTTACTTCATACTCTCAACTTTTATTTTAGATATGGAACTATTTTAAATTTTATTTCAAATTTAGTAATGAAATAAGTTTTATTCACAATCCTGCAACTCTAAAGTAACCACCATTAACATTTTGGTATACTTCTTTTCAGCCTTTTTATCCAGTGTACATTTTACCCTGTTATAATCATACTTATAAAGCAGTATTGTTTACTACATTTTTACTTAACACATTAAAAAGAAGCAGTTTATGGGCGCCTGGGTGGCTCAGTTGGTTAAGTGTCTGACTCTTGATTTCGACTCAGGTCATGACCTCACAGTTCATGAGTTTGAACCCCATATCAAGCTCTATGCTGTCAGCACAGCTTAGGATCCTCCGTCTCTCTCTCTCTCTCGCTCTCTCTCAAAAATAATAAATAGTTTAAAAAATTTTAATTTCACATATAATTGCCAGTAAGAGTTAAAAAAGATATATGCATCTAGTACAAAACTTTTTTCCATTTGTAGGTCTGTAATATTGTGGCAGGGCAACGATGTATCAAGAAGCTAACGGACAATCAGACATCCACTATGATCAAAGCAACAGCAAGATCTGCGCCAGATAGACAAGAGGAAATTAGCAGATTGGTTAGTACTTGACCCTAGAAATGGGTTAAAAACATGTTAGAATGAGCTACTACTGGAGTCATGTCCTTATCAGCTCATACCTCATTACCATTTCATGGATTATCAGAATTAAAAGGGACCATGGAAGTCATCCAGTGGTGTTCTTAACGGGTTCTTAAGGTTTACCCCTTAATGAGTTCTATGAGAAGGATTAGATCCTTCTCATTTAGCCCCAAGCTCTTTAATTTTAGATCTAGAGCAGATTGTCTCAATTAGTGTTTCAGTTAGGGAACTGGAACTTTACTAGGAACTTTACCTCCCACCTAGGAAAGGAAAAGGAAGAAAAATCAAGGTATTATGACTATCTATAGTGAGTGTTAACCATCAGTAGGAGTTTTTAGTCCTCAGTATCAGACTGGCAGCTGTATAAGATGAATAAAGAAATACAAGACTGGGGTGCCTGGGTGGCTTAAGAAAAAAAAATGTAAGACTGTTCCAACCATGTAAGGTCTCTAAGCTCTATCACTGTTGTGAGTGGAAGAGAAGGAAGAGTAGCAATATCACTTTATAAAACTGATGGAATAAGGCAAAATGAAAAATAAAAGTCACCTGGATCTTACTCTCTTCTTGAATACCATTTAAATTACATAAGTGAAGAGAAAAAAGTCTGGAAATAGGAATATTACTTTGGGTAATAGTGAAGATTGTTATAAAAAAGTTACAGAACTGGCATTTTCATTTTGTAAGCCAATTATGGGAAATTCCCGTATAGTTTTATAAAGAGCAAATAAAAGTTATTACATGATAATTAGGAAAATACAGATTTGTTTTCATCATAGATTGTTTTTCTGATCTATTATAACAAGGTTTTAAAACCTTTAAGAGGCTAGAACCTTTCATTATCTCTGTGAAATCCCAATAACTACTACTAATTCACTTATTTCAGCTTTTCTGTCCAAAGAGAGAATATCATACAATGGTTAAAAGTACAAGCTTTGGAATCTTAACAGCTCTGGGTTCAAAGTCTATCTTCTATGCTTACTTACTGTTTCCATTATTGTAGTTATTATAATTATACCATCTACAGGGCGCCTGGGTGGCTCAGTCGGTTAAGCATCCGACTTCAGCTCAGGTCATAATCTCACAGTTCATGAGTTCGAGCCCCACATCAGGCTCTGTGCTGACAGCTCAGAGCCTGGAGCCTGCTTTCAACTCTGTGTTCCCTCTCTCTCTGCCCCTCCCCTGCTCATGCTCTCTCTCTCTCTCTTTCTCTCAAAAATAAATAAACCTTAAAAAATTATAATTATACCATCTGGAAGACTAGTGCACTGATTGAGAGTAGAAACTCTAGAATCAGGACATACGTGGTTTCAGATTCTAGGTCACTTGCTTAGCTACATGGTTCTAGGCCAGACATTTAACTGTACTAAGCTTTAGGTTTGTCCTCTGTAAAGATTATAAAAGTTATATAAGAATTACTTTTATAGCTATAAATTTATTGTGAAAATTAATTATAAAACTTAATACCAAGCATATCACATGGCAGGTTTTTATTTATAGTAGTTATTCTTTGCAACCTTACTATGAAGGTACCCTGAAAAATGCCATAAATGAATGGCATTTAAGCTTGAAGAAGCATTAGTGCCTAATTTAGAAAACAACTCTTTCTGTTTATTGTGGGAAAAATTTTTTTACATATTTAGGTTATATAGTTTTTTTTAATGGGTTGTTACTCAACCACTTGAAATACCACCTTCATTTTATAACCTTATTTGACCTTCCCCCTGAGACCAAGTAAATATGTTTTAAAAAACACAGTTACTATAGCACGCTATAAACATGAATTATATTATGAAGTCCAAGTGTATATTGAATTAAATTCTTGGTACCTGGGTGGTCAATCAGTTAAGTGACTGACTTACGCTCAGGTCATAGTCTCAGGATTCGAGCTCCGTATCAGGCTCTCTGCTGGCAGTGCAGAACACACCAGATATTTAATACATGTCTGAATCTTCTAATTAGAAGTTTTTATTTTTTAGGTCAGAAGTTTATTCCTCTTATAATCCCCAGACCACCCTCTCTAAAATGTATTAAGTTTAGTCATATAAAATTGCCATTTTCATAGATTGTAAATAGTTGAAATTTCTTATTATTCTACCTAATACATTCAAATTTTTGTAAATTACCAGGAGGTTCAGACTTCCTACAGTCCATTCATGATATGTGGTTCGAGGTTAAGATTCTCTGTCCTATAGTTAAGGCACCATTAACTAGATCTAAAACATTATTGATACAGTGAAGAGAAAAAAATGCAGAGTTCTAATGAATAAAGCAGGAAGTTGGGAAAATTTTTGAAAATAACTGCTAACTTTTTCTGTTGTTAGGTAAGAAGTGCAAATTATGAAACAGATCCATTTGTTCAGGAGTTTCAATTTAAAGTTCGGGATGAAATGGCCCATGTAACCGGACGTGTACTCCCAGCACCTATGCTGCAGTATGGAGGACGGGTAAAACCTGTTGATGGTTTTTAAATTAGAAACAAACAATTGTTGTTAATAAAGAGAAGGGCATCCTAACTAAGTCTGAGATATAGAAAGTGTTGTTTTGCTCCAACAGTACTTTTTTGTTTTAAGGTATCTTTGCTTGAGTTTAGATGTTTTAGTTTTATAGGATAAAAAATATAAATAATATTGATGTAGAGAAGCCTATTACATGTAGAATGTCAGATATATATCAGTTCAGCAGTTTGAAATGTTTTTCTTTACAGCTCATTAAAATAAACTGTATGTTAATAGTTTCTTCTTTTTTGCCTTATTTCTCTTTTTACTTTTTCTGTAGAATCGGACAGTAGCAACACCAAGCCATGGAGTATGGGACATGAGAGGGAAACAGTTCCACACAGGAGTTGAAATAAAAATGTGGGCTATAGCTTGTTTCGCCACACAGAGGCAGTGCAGAGAAGAAATATTAAAGTAAGACATGTCACTACTTTGGTTTGGGGAATTTTTTGTGTTTCAGTTTTAACTACTTTGGCTAATGTTTTAACCTGTGTTGTCTCAGTACAGAGTAATCACTGAGCCTTTGAAAATACTACTTCTCAGTACTTTGGGAAAGATTTCTATATTTGTTAGTAAAGTCACTCATTCATTCTTGTAGGCATCTTACTTAACATTCCAGCTTATGTGATATGGAAAGAGCATCATTGGCTTTTGATAGCAAATAGGTTATGTTTAATTCCTGGCCTTTTCACTTCTTAGCTATATTATTATGAGTAATTTATTTAATTTCATTTTGCTTCAGTTTTCACCATTTTAGAGATAATACCTATCTCTTAGATGAGGATGAAATAAGATCTTTATTTCTCAATTGAGCTCCTTGAAAGAATAATCTAACTCTTCATTTTCACTTCTTTACTTTCAAAAATTTGACCTCCATCTCCACCAGTTTCTTCCTTTATTCCCCAAATTCTTTTCCTCCATGTGTAAGTGCTCGGTAATCTTCTGCTTAAATTGAAAACAAAACAAAAAATTGTTGATTTTCAATTTACATAACTTATTCCAGCCTTCCAGGCTTCCATTTTCTCACCTTCTTTGAAAGAAAATGATTATTGTCTAAATTCAGTCTCCATTAATAGATCTTATAAAGTATGCTCATAATGAGTATTTCTTGAAAGATACAGAGGCAAGTTTACCAGCCAGGTCAATTCAGAATTTTCTTTTTTCATATGAGAAATAAAAGTATTTTTTCTATTTAATTCTGTTCACTTTTTATTAGCTCCAAATTTCTAAATGTATGTCTTAAGGTTTACTTAATATACGTTTTTCTCCAGAGTTTTTATACCCATTTTCAAGTAAAATGTCATAAGGATAGTTTACTAAATGCTATGATTATCTTGACCTTGAGGCCAAAGAAAATACCTCCAATTGTTTTCCAAGCTTAGACTTATTCTTTTCGCTTTACATTTGTTATTCATGGCTTGATAGAAATCTCATAATCTTTGGGCTTGTGGGTCTTATTGAGGCTGACTGAAAATACCCAACTTCATACTTCTCAAATTAAACACTAATAAGGAAAAGGAGAAGGAAATTCCTACAAACTTTGTCTCTAAGGGAATTAGAATGTTTTTGAGCAAAGATGACTCAGATCCTTGACTTATGATCTTATTTGTTTTCAAAACAAGTAAAGTGATTGTTAAATCACGACATCATTACTTGTTTATCCTAGGTTAAATGCAGAATTTTGTTTTAAAAAGGAATTAATCGTCTTCTGGGGTTTCTTTTTAGTGGAGATAAAAGTACATTGAAATGCTTCCTGCCTCATTCGTTCTTAAGTGTTGTTTTCATATATTTTTTTAATCTTTTCTGAAGACACAGTCTTACCTGCTATCCTTGTTTCAGATACATAATATTGTGGAAGGAAATTTTGGAGTAGGTCATACTTCTGACTCTACCATTTATCTAGCCATTTGACATTAATGTCCCTGGAACTGTTGCCTGACCTATAAAATGAGAATAATACCTTACCTACCACTTTTTTATGAATGTTGTCACAATCAAATTAGACAGTGTACAATGGGGCACCTGGGCGGTTCAGTCGGTTAAGCATCCAACTCTTGATTTTAGTTCAGGTCATGGTCTCACAGTTTGTGAGTTCGAGCCCTGCTTGGGATCCTCTGTCTCCCTCTCCCTCTACCCCTCCCCTGCTCACTTACATGCACACACTCGCTCGCTCTCTCTCTCTCTGTGTCTCTCCCTCTCTCAAATATAAATAAATAGCACTTAAAAAAAAAATTGGGTGCCTAGGAGGCTCAGTTGGTTAAGCATCTGACTTCAGCTCAAGTCATGATCTCACAGTTTGTGGGTTCAAGCCCCATATCAGGCTCTGCGGCTTATCACTCAGAGCCTGGAGCCTGCTTCAGATTCTATGTCTCCCTCTCTGTGCCTCCCCCATTTGCAATCTGTCTCTCTCTCTCTCAAAAATAAATAAAAATGTTAAAAAAAATAAACACTACTCTTAAATAATGTACACTATCTTAAATTTATCAAGTTCTTACCATGTCTTGGTCAGTGTGCTAAATTCATATATAATCTCATTTAATATTCACACCAACTCTCTAATGGAAGTAATCATTTTACAGATGAGAGAAACTAAAAAAAATGCTTAAGATTTCATAGTTACTAACAGAATTAGGATTGAAACTTGCCATGCTAACTCTAGAAATGAACTCTTAACCAGTACACTGTATTACTAATGCCCTTTGTAAACTACAGAATCCCACATGATTCTATAGTAGTGTTCTTAATTTCCAAAATAGATTACTGACTCACTACTGCCCTTAATATCAGTAATCTTGGTGACCTCTTTATATATGGAGCACACAAATCTTTGCTTCATTTTCCATTCACTTCTCAAACTTTCCATTCCGCTTTGTAGATGTGAATGACTAGACAAAGGATTTAGTTTTAGTGTGATTTCTCCTTCTAGGGGTTTCACCGACCAGCTGCGTAAGATTTCTAAAGATGCAGGGATGCCCATCCAGGGCCAGCCTTGCTTCTGCAAATATGCGCAGGGGGCAGACAGTGTGGAGCCCATGTTCCGGCATCTTAAGAACACCTACTCAGGGCTGCAGCTCATTATCGTCATCCTGCCGGGGAAGACGCCGGTGTATGGTAAGGATATCTTAAGAATGTATTTTTTTTTTCAAGTACTTGATAATTTTGGAAAAGACAAATCAGTAGAGGAAATTAAATAGGCCAAGAGGAGGGCCACCTGGGTGGCTCAGTTGGTTAAGCGTCTGACTTAGGCTTAGGTCATGATCTCACGGTTCGTGTATTTGAGCCCCGTGTCAGTCTCTCTCTCAAAAATAAACTTAAAAAAAAAAAACAAGTTCTGCCAGCTATACTACCTATGTGATATACCTGAAATACTGAACCACACTAGGCTTTAGTGGCCTCATCTTTGAAACTGGGATACTAAAAATAAGTAACTCATAGAGAGTAGTTGTAAGGATTAAATAAATTTACATATATAAACAAGGCCTAGAATAGTACTTGTTAAATAGTGAATACTCAGTAAATGATAGATATTATTATTGTAAACAAAAAGTTTAGTGATATTAATAATTTAAACATAAATCATTGAATCTTGGAAAAATACAAAGTATAATTTTCAAACTACTGAATGGAGTATAATCATTTAAGCTTAGAAATGATAGAACAGGTAGAAACAATTTGGAAAACTAAAAGACAACCTACAGAATGGCAGAATGTATTTGCAAACAACGTATCTGATAGTTACTATCCAAAATCTATAAAGAACTTATCAAACTCCACACCCAAAAAACAAATAACCCAGTTAAGAAATGGGCAGAAGGCACTTGGGTGGCTCAGTCAGTTAAGTGTGTGACTCTTCATCTCGGCTTGGGTCATGATCTCATGGTTCGTGCATTCGAGCCCCGCATTAAGCTCCGTGCTGATGGCTGGAGCCTACTTGAGATTTTCTTTCTCCCTCTCTCTCTGACCCTACCCTACTCGTGCTCTCTCTCACACATGCGAGCACATGCGCTCTCTCTCAAGAATAAATAGATATTTTTTTAAGAACAACAGGTGTTGGTAAGTATGCAGACAAAAGAGAACTCTCTTGCACTGTTGGTGGGAGTGCAAACTAGTGCAACCACTCTGGAAGATAGTATGGAAGTTCCTCAAGAAACTAAAAATAGAACTACCCTATGATCCAGCAACTGCGTTGGTAGGTATTTACCCAACGGATACAAAAATACAGATATGAAGTTATACGTGCTGCACCCCATTGTTCATAGCAGCATTATCAACAATAGCCAAACTATGGAAAGAGCTCAAATATCCATCGGCTGATGAATGGATAAGGAAGATATGATATTTATATACGATGGAATATTAGCCACCATAAAGAATGAAATCTTGCCATTTGTAATGATGTGGATGGAGCTAGAATGTATTATGATATGCGAAAGAACTCAATCAAAGACAAATACCGTATGATTTCACTCATATGGGGAATTTAAGGAACAAAACATTTGAACACATGGGAAGGGAGAAGAGAGGGAAACAAACCACAGCAGGCTCTATTTTTTAATGTATATTTATTTATTTTGAGAGGGCAGAGGGAGGGGGTTGAGGGGAGGAAGAGAATCCAAAGCAGGCCCAACGCTGTCAGCGTGGAACCCAATGTAGGGCTCAACACCATGAACCACGAGATTATAACCTATGCTGAAATCAAGAGTTGGATGCTTTAACCAACTGAGCCACCCATGCACTCCAACCACAAGAGACTCTTAATGATAGAGAATAAACTGGAGGTCGATGGAGGGCGGTGGGTAGGAGATGAGCTAGATGAGACATGGCACTAAGGAAGGCACTCGTTGTGATGGGCACTGGGTGTTGTATATAAGTGATGAATCACTAAGTTCTACTCCTGAAACCAATATGGCACTGTATGTTAACAAACTTAAATTTAAATTAAAAAAAATTTTTTTTAATGATAGAACAGAAGTGCCTGAGTTGCTCAATTGGTTGAGCATCTGACTCTTGATTTTGGCTTAGGTCAAGTCCCTAGGGTCATGGGATCGAGCCCCATGTCAGGTTCTACCCTGAGTATGGAGCCTGCTTAAGATTCTTTTTTCTTTTTCTTTTTAATGTTTATTTATTTACTTTGAAAGAGAGCAAACATGCACTCAGAGTGTGCATTCACATGCACAAGGTAGGGAGAAACAGAGGGGGAAAGAGAGAGAGAATCCCAAGCCGGCTTTATGCTGTCAGTGCAGAGCCCAACGTGAGGCTCAGTCTCACCAACCTTGAGGTCATGACCTGAGCCAAAATCAAGAACTGGATGTTTAATGGACTGAGCCACCTGAGGTGCCCTAGAGCCTACTTAAAATTCTGTCTCCCCCTGCCATCCTCCCCAACTCACACACACTCTCTCTCTCTCTGTCTCTGTCTCTTAAAAAAAAAAAAAAGAATAGAACAGTTCACAAAGGAAAATTGTTAGATTTACTACATAAAAATTCAATTTTCTGTATCTCACAAATATATAACAATAAAAAGTAAATAAATGGAAACCAGTAGAATCTAAAAAATATTTGCAGCAAATGGAGACGACAAAGGGCTAGTTTATTAATATATCCATATAGATGTTATTGTGATCAAAGAAAAAAATCCTTATGTTCTTACAGATTAGTGAGCAAGACTATAAACCAAAATTTCTCAAGAAAAAACAAAACCATTAAATATATGAGAAAGTATTGGTTTTTCACTAAAACTTAAAGAAAACTACAGGTAAATGAAAGGAAAAATTTTAGGAGCACCTGGGTGGCTCAGTTGGTTGAGCATTAGACTCTCGGTTTTGGCTCAGGTCATGATCCTGGGGTGGTGGGATCGAGCCCCACGTTGGGCTCTGCACTGGGTATGGAGCCTGCTTGAGATTTTCTCTTGCTTTTCCCCACTCACGTACATTTGATTTTTCTCTCTAAAGAAAAGGAAAGAAAAATTTATGTTACTAAATTAGCAAATGTAGTTAAATGTTATAATCCTTAGTGCTTGTGAGTTTGCAGCAAATCTAGAATTTTAATATATTGCTGATGGCAGTTAAATTGATAATATCAAAAATATAAAAATGTTTCTGTGATTCAGTATTTTCAATTACAAAAAGGTGTTCAAAGGAAATAATTCATAATGGAGAAAAATCTATGCACAGAATTTTGATAATGGTATCTGTGATATTAAAAAAATATTGACTGGGGCTCCTGGGTGGCACAGTTGGTTAAGTGTCCAACCCTAGCCCAGGTCATTATCTCACAGTTTGTGGATTCCGGCCCCGCATCAGGGTCTGTGCTGACAGCTCAGAGGCTGGAGACTACTTCGAATTCTGTGTGTGTGTGTGTGTGTGTGTGTGTGTGTCCCTTTCTCTCTCTCTCCCTCTCTCTCCCTCTCTCCGTCTGCCCCTCCCCCACGCACACCTTATCTCTCTCAAAACGTTTTAAAAAGTAAATAACTATTGAGAACTGGCTTTAAACAATGAGTAAGTTACAGTATATTAAATGAAATAGTATACAGTGGTTATAAATGATGTTATAAATTCAAAAGATATTTTTAGGGGTGCCTGGATGGCTCAGTTGGTTGAGTGTCCAACTTTGGCCCAGGTCATGATCTTGTGGCTCGTGGTTTCAAGTCCCGGGTCAGGCTCTGAGCTGTGAGCATCACCAATGTTAGTAGAAAACTATCACTCATTTCTTTTGTTTTTTTAAAAATTTTTTTAGTGTTTTGTTTATTTTTGAGAGAGAGACGGAGTACAAGTGAGAGAGAGTAGGAAACACAGAATCTGAAGCAGGCTCTAGGCTCTGAGTTATCAACACGGAGCCCGACTCGGGGCTCGAACCCACGAGCCACAAGATCATGACTTGAGCCGAAGTCGGATGTTCAACCGACTGAGGCACCCAGGTGCCCCCCAAAAAAAGATATTTTAAAAACTGTGATAAAATACAGAAGCTGAAGCTCAACGAATTTGTAAATCAATAAGTAAAGGACCAACAACTGAAAAATAGACAAAGGACGTAAAACAGAAAAACAAATGAAACAAATGGTGAATTATCTTATGAAAAGATTCTCAACCCCATTAGTCATTAAGAAAATATGAACTAGAGTAAGTGATTTTTTACTAACAATCATAATACCCATTTTTGGGGGCGCCTGGGTGGCTTAGTCGGTTAGGCGTCCGACTTTCGCTTGGGTCATGATCTTGCGGTTCGTGGGTTCGAGCCCCGCGTCGGGCTCTGTGCTGACTGCCAGCTCAGAGCCTGGAGCCTGTTTCAGTNTGCTTTTTGGGTAAGAAAACTTGATGGAAGTCTTTAATTATGAAGCTGTTTCATGCAGTGTTTAATATGAAAGCATCTTTTGTCCTTAAGTAATTCAATGGCGTGATGAAACATGTATTTTTAGAAAAATTAATCTGGGGGCGCCTGGGTGGCTTAGTCGGTTGAGCGTCCAACTTTCGCTCAGGTCATGATCTCACGGTTCGTGGGTTCAAGCCCCGCGTCCGGCTCTGTGCTGACTGCCAGCTCAGAGCCTGGAGCCTGTTTCAGTCTGTGACTCCCTCTCTCTCTGACCCTCCCCTGCTCATGCTGTCTCTCTCTCTCTCCTAGAAATAAATAAAACATTAAAAAAAAAATTTTTTTTTTTAAATAATAATACCCATTTTTGGCAAAATTAAAAATAAGTATTGACTCTCATATACTGTTCATGGGAGAGAAAGTTGGTATTACCATAGCCTCCAAGCTGACATTCTTGCCTGCATTCCCTGTAGTTCCTTTTCAGTCCATTGTCTACATTTCTTCTAGTGTAATTTTTTTAATTAATAGATTTTATTTTTTTAATTTTAGATTTACAGAAAAATTAAGCAGATCGTCTAGAGAGTCTCTATATGCTTACTCCTTCCTCTGCAGAGTTTTCCCTGATATTAACATCTTATAGTTGGTGGTACATTTAATGAACCATTTATCATTAATAACGGTAAATCATTATTAATATGTTGTCCACAGCTTACATTAAAGTTTACTTTTTGTGTTGTACAGGTCTATGGGTTTTGATAAATGTATAACATCATGTATATACAGTATCATAAAAAATAGTTTCATGGCTCTAAAAATCCCCTGTACTCCCACGTATTCATCCCTCCCTGTCTTTCCTCAAAAGCCTGACAGCCACTGGCCTTTTTATATTTCTACAGTTTTGTCTTTTCTAAGATGTTGTCATACAGTATGTACACTTTCTAATTGGCTTCTTTCACTTAGCAGTATGCATTTAAGGTTCCTCCATGTCTTTTTGTAGCAGGATAAGTCATTTTTTTTTTACTGCTGAATAATCCATTGTATAGATGTATTAGTTTGTTATCCATTTACCTATTTTTAGCTCATAATCAAGAAGGATGTTTTAATTGCTTCCAGTTTTTTGGCAATTATGAATACTGCTGGTGTAAACATTTACATGTAGGTATTTGGATAGACATAAGTTTCCAACTGACTTGGGTGAATAACTAAGAGCACAAATGCTTTATCAAATGGGGAGACTGCCAAAATGGCTGTACTAGGGCACCTGGCTGGCTTAGTCTGAAGAGTGTGTGACTCTTGATCTATGGGTCATGAGTTTGAGATCCAGAGTGGGTGTAGAGATTGCTTAAACAAACAAATAAATAAATAAATAAACTTTTTAAAAATGGCTCTACCATTTTGTATTCCCACAACAATGAATAAAAGCTTCTATTCTACTGCATCCTCTTCAGCATTTAGTATTATCAATTTTTAAATATTTTAGCCATTCTAATAAGAGTGTTTTGTATCTCACTGTTGTTTTAATTTTCAATTCCTTAGAGACACATCATGTTGAGAATCTTTTCATATGCTTACTTGCCATCTGTATATTTCCTTTAGTGACATGTCTATTCCAGCCTTTCACCCACTTTTTAAGTTGGGGAGTTTGTTTTCTTATTTTTCAGTTCTAAGGGGTGTTTTTTTTATATTTTGGTTTCAAGTTCTTTATCATATATGTATTTTGCATTTATTTTCTTCCAGTCTGCGGCCTGTCTTTTCATCCTCTTAACAGTTGCTAGGGGTGCCTGGGTGGCTCAGTTGATTAAGGGTCTAACTTCAGCTCTAGCTGTGATCTCACAGTTTGTGAGTTCAAGCCCCACATTGGGCTTTCTGCTATCAGCCTGGAGCCCATCTCAGATCTTCTGTCTCCTTCCCTGCTCGTGCTCATGCACATGCTCGCTCTCTCTCAAAAGTAAACATTTTTTTTAAAAAGTTTCTAATGTTAATAAAGACCAAAAGTCTCTAATGTTAATAAAATCCAACTCATTAGGTTTTTCTTTGACAGATCATGTTTTCAGGATTATAATTAGAACCTCGTTGCCAAGCCCAAGGTCACTTGAAATTTCTTCTATGTTGCTTTCTAGTGTTTTCATAGTTTTGTTTTTTATACATAGGTTTATACTCATTTTGAGCTAATTTTTGTTAAAGATAGAAGGTCTGTGACTAGATTCATTGTTTTGCATGTCACTGTCCAGTTGTTCTAGTTCTATTTCTTGGAAAGACTATCTTTCTCAATTAAATTGCCTTTGCTACTTTGTCAAAGATTGATTAACTATATTTATGTGAATCTATTTCTAGGCTCTTTATTTTGTTTCATTGGTCTATATGTCTGTTCATTTGCTAATACCACACTGTCTTGACTAATGTAGCTTAATTAACTTAAGTCTTAGTGTCAGTTCTCTGACTTTGTTCTTTTTCACTATTGTCTTAGCTGTTCTAAATCTTTTGCCTCTCTATATAAGCTTTAGAATCAGTTTGCAATATCCATAAAATAACTTGCTGAAATTTTTATTAGGATTACATTGAATCTATTAATCAGGATGAGAAGAATTGACATCTTAACAATGTTAAGTATTTCCATCCTTGAACATGTACTGTCTCTCTGTTTAGAGCTTCTTTAGCTTTTTATCAGAATTTTATAGTTTCTTATAGATCCTGTACATGTTTTGTTAGATTTATACCCAAGAATATCTTTTTCTTTTGATACTGATGTAAATGGTATTGTGTTTTTCATTTTCAGTTCCAGTTGTTCATTTTTGGTATTTAGGAAAGCAGTTGACTTTTGCATATTTACTCTGTATCATGCAACCCTACTGTAATCACTTATTCCAAGAGGCATGTATTTTCATTCTCTGGGATTTTCTACCTAGACAGTCATGTACTCTGTGAACAAACAGTTTTATTTCTTCCTTCCTAGTCTGTATACTTTTCATGTTAATATACACATATTTTGGGATTTCCCAGCTATCTTCTTGGTAGTGATTTCTAGTTTAATTCCACTGTGGTCTGAGACCATACTTAGTATGATTTCTATTCTTTTCAATTTGCTAAGTTACATTTTTGGACCAGAATGAGGTCTGTCTTACTGAATGTTCTATGTAAGTTTAAGAAGAATGTGTATTCTTGCTGTTATTAAATGAAGTATTTAATAAATGTCTTTAAATGGAGTTATTTGGTGATGCTGTTCAAGTCAGCTATATCTGCTTTTTTTCAGTAGCTGCACCATTTTTCATCCTACCAGTAACGCACAAGGGTTCCAGTTTCTCTGCATCCTAGCAATACTTGTTATTTTCTTTTCTTCTTTTCTTCTTTTTGATAATAACCCTCCTAATGGGTATGAAATGTGTCTTGTGGTTTTGACTTGCATCTCCCTCATAATTGGTGATATGGAGCATCTTTTCATGTGCCTGTTAGCCATTTGTACATCTTCTTCAGAGACATTGTATATTTAGAGCCTCACACAATACTAGCATGTACTGGGTGAACATTAACTATTTGTTGAATGAGGGGCACCTGGGTGGCTCAGTTGGTTAAGCATCCGACTTCAGCTCAGGTCATGATCACACGGTTCATGGGTTCAAGCCCTGTATTGGGCTCTTTGCTGACAGCTCAGAGCCTGGAGCCTGCTTTGGATCTAGTATCTCCCTCTCTCTCTGACCCTACCCTGCTCACACCGTCTCTCTCAGAAATAAATAAAAAACATTTAAAACATTTTTAATAATAAATATTTGTTGAATGAAGAATAAACCTTTTTGGAGAGCAGTTTGTCGGTATCTACAAAAATGTTAAATATATATACCTCTGGCCCCTCAATTCTACTTGTAGGAATGTATTCTGAAGCTATAGTTATATAACCAAACAAAAATAAATGTACAAGGATATTATTTGTAGCATTGTTTGAAATAATGAAAACCTGGAACAAGCTGAAAATATATCTGTGTATGACTGGTTAGATTCTTTATGATATTTAAAAACAGACTGTTATTGTTACAGATAATAAAGGTAATTTATATATTAAGATTCAGAACATACTATATTATTAAATGAAAATGACAGTTTGCAAAGTAGAATGCAGGTTTGCTTTTAAAATGTTTTCCATGTGTGGGGTGTCTGAGTGGCTCAGTTGGTTAAGCATCTGGCCCTTGGTTTCCGCTCTGGTCATGATCTCATTGGTGAGTTTGAGCCCCACATCAGGTTTTGCGCTGACACCTCGGAGCCCGCCTTCTCTGTCCCTATCTTAACTCTCTTCCTCTCCCTTTGAAAATAAATAAACGTTAAAAAGAAATATTTTCTGTGTGTTTTATAAAAAATAAGGTATGTACACTGAACTCTATTGTCATAATGGCAGAGAGAGGGAAATTTACAGGGACCTTTTATTCTTTACACTATAAAGACTTTATTTTTTTATTATTATTTTATTTTGTTATGTATATTTATTTTGAGAAAAGGAGCACACGTGAGAAGGCTTGAACTCATGAACCATGAGATCATAACCTGAGCCTAAACCAAGAGTCAGACACTTAATTAACCAACTGAGCCACCAAGATGCCCCATACACTATAAAGACTAATTTTAAAATTTTCTTTTTAATGTTTTATTTATTTCTGAGAGAGAGACAGCGTGAGCAGGGGAGGTTCAGAGACAGAGGGAGACACAGAATCTGAAGCAGGCTTCAGGCTGTGAGCTGTCAGCACAGAGCCCGACGCGGGGCTCGAACCCATGAACAGTGAGATCATGACCTGAGCCAAAGTCGGACGCTTAACCAACTGAGCCACCCAGGCGCCCCGGTTATACTATTTTTATGATGACAGAAATATACTTTGTTACATAAAGAAGAAAGCAACTGGGAAAATTATCACTAAATATTTAAGCTAATCTTCAAGGCAGTATACTTTAAATTATAACAGCATTGTTTTAGTATTCTTATAATTTTTAGAGTCCTATAATTCAGTGATGTATTTCAAGGGGGAAAATATAGTAGCGTAGTTTTCAGTGAAATTTGGCCTTGTTTCTAACTGGAGGTATTTGTATTTGTTCCATAGCGGAAGTAAAACGTGTAGGAGATACACTTTTGGGTATGGCTACACAGTGTGTCCAAGTCAAGAATGTAATAAAAACATCCCCTCAAACTCTCTCAAACTTGTGCCTAAAGATAAACGTTAAACTCGGAGGGATCAATAATATTCTTGTACCTCATCAAAGGTAAGATACGCTAATCACTTAATTAAATACTACTTTTCATCTTAATTTTTCTATATATTGCCATATCTAATATCAGTGTAAGAAACAATTTTGATGATTCCTGCCATGGGAGATAGGTAGACATTTTAGCTAAAATTTTAAGAGATTCCCTTGTGGAAATCCCCTTTCAACTCTGTTTTTATTTAGTATATACAAATAACTTCTTGCCCCGCTACAAAGTAGTGAGAGCTTTATGTATTTCTCACTGGAGTGCACAGCTTAAAGAATTTTCTCTTTCTTTGATAGTCCTCCTTATTCTGCTATTATGAGGCTGCTCTCTCACTTAGAAAGAAAGGGAAGAATGAAGGATCTTGGGTGGGGCATGTCAATTAAGTGAATCATTTAAGTAAGCCATATCAACTCCCTGCTACATGCAGATGTTACTGTCAGACCATCATCATGTTTAAGAGCTCTTAGGAAGTATGACATAATGACCTAGAAACAGGTGCTGGGCAAGAGACTGAGAATTGAACAACAGATTTCCTTTTAACAGTTGAAGCAACTAGGGCTTTAAAAAACTAAATATCTTGACCAGTATGGACCACAGATAAGCATAAGGAAAGACCCATGTGTATTTGACACAAAATCCCTTTTTTTTTTCTGTTTTTCCGTGTTGTCTATTAACAGATGAGAATCATAAATGAGATGGTATTTGAATCTTAAAGGATATAGTTTTGGGTTTAGTTTGGTTTTGTTGTTTTTTAATGTTTATCTTCTTTGAGAGAGACCACAAGCAAGAGGGGGAAGAGAGAGGGAGGGAGAATTCCAAGCAGGCTCTGCACTATCAGCAGAGCTCAACAAGGGGCTCTCTCTATCTCATGAACCATGAGATCATGATCTGAGCCAAGATAAAGAGTTGGGTGCTTAACTGACTGAGCCACCCAGGCACCTCTTAAAGGATGTAGTTTTTTAAATAAAATGACTGACCAACTACTTTATGACTATTAAGTATTTGTACTTTTGGACACAAGAGGGGAAGTAATAGATTCCCATAATCCTTTTCAGTGAAAAGCTTAATGATTCTTTTTCTCATTGAGAGATTGCATAGTTTAAATGTAAGTAGATTACAGAAAGATTGATACATCCTGGGATTAATATGAGGAAGTTCATCATTTTATGCCTCTTATGAAGAATGCCCACCCTTTGCAACCACCAGCACCAATGCTTAAGGCAGAAAATTGCTCTGAATAAGACATTGGATAGACCTATTGTGATAGCTTTTACTTCATTGAGTTAAGGGTTCATGAATGGAGAGAATAAAAGAGTATCAGAGCTTTGAAGACCTCCTCTGTGCTGTGTCAGCAACTTGTATTTGTGTGGCAGTAGTATGACAGATAAATGAATAACGAAAAAATGAATTATCTAACTCTTTTAAAAAATGTGTTTAAGACCTTCTGTGTTCCAGCAACCTGTGATCTTTTTGGGAGCAGATGTCACTCATCCACCAGCTGGTGATGGAAAGAAGCCTTCTATTGCTGCTGTGAGTGTCATTAGGCAGATTTATCTTGTCTAAAGTTTAGATCAACATTTTGGTTTCAGCTTTTTGAATTTTAATGACATTTTTTTCTTTGAAACCAATTTTTATAAATATATATATGTATATCTAGAACCAATTTTCAACTATTTGGTTGTTGTTGTTTTTTAAAGAATGATCATTCTCTTGGGGCGCCTGACTGGCACAGTAGGTTAAGCTTCCAACTTCACCTCAGGTCATGATCTCTCAGTTTGTGGGTTTGAGCACCACGTTGGGCTCAGTGCTGACAGCTCAGAATCTGGAGCTGTTTCAATTTCTCTGTCTCCCTCTCTCTTCCCTTCCCCTGCTCACACTCTGCCTCTCTCAAAAAAATGAATAAACATTTAAACATTTAAAAAAAAATCAGAATGGTCATTCTCTAGTTTGGGGGCTAAAAGTTACATATATATTTATTAAATTGAGCTTATTAATTGTATTACTCAAGTCTTTTGTTTCCTACTTTATCTATATGACATCTCTGTGATCATATATTTTCAGTTAGTTTTTGTTTAGTTAATGTATTTCCATAGTGTCTTTGTCACAGAAAGATATATTGCATTTTTTTCAATGTAAAATATCTTCTACCTTTGTCCAATCTAATACTTCTATCTGAATTCTTTGTTTTAATACTACCATTCCTGCTTTTAACATTTGCCTTTTTTTTTTTTTTTTTTATGTTTATTTTTGAGAGACAGAGAGACAGAGCACAGGAAGGGAAGGGTCATAGAGAGAGGGAGACACAGAATCTGAAGCAGGCTCCAGGCTCTGAGCTGTCAGCACAGAGCCCAATACAGGGCTTGAACTCATAGACCGTGAGATCATGACCTGAGCTGAAGTCATATGCTTAACTAACTGAGCCACCCAGGCAACCCAACATTTGCTTTTCATATCTTTGCCCACCTCTGTGTTTGTAAAATTTCTTTGTCAGTTCTTTTAAGTATAGTTCTTATAAAGTTCTGAAAGCCAGATGTTTTACCTACCTTGAAATTCCTTGTTTTTTAACAAATGCCAACATTTTGAAAATGTCATCATATTTTAGCCATACGTGATAAGTTTCAGAAGTTAAGCTGTAAGACATTTTACATATTTTTATTATCTATAATAATCTTTACATAAATTCTGAGTTTCAACAACCTGGTATATTTTATTTATCCATGAAAATGATAGTAATCTTAAAATTCTTACTTAAGATTCCAAAGCTATTTTCATTAGTGAAGGAAATTTGCTTCTATCTATGGATAAATTTTATTGCTTTTTATTCTCATAGTTATGCATGAATTGTCATTTCAGATGTCCTAGATGTAGTATTGAGCCACTTCTGATATTCATAAAAATGTTTTTATAGAAGATGAAATTGTTTTGTCAAAAAAAATTCAGAAGACTTACTTTGGATTTGCTATTTTGGGGTCATTTACCAAGAAAGTTTAAGCTTAGTTGAATTCTTTTGGACTTCTGGGCAGTCATTGTCCTAGAAATTTCTACTAAATCCATTTCTACCAAATATCCATTTTCTTTTATTATTATCAGAAGTCTTGTAAATAGAATTTATTATTTCTTTTTGCTATATGGGTTCTATTCCCAAGAACTTAAAGACCAGTGTGAAAAACAAATGTAAGTAATAAATGCCACATAGTATAATAGATATTACTTTAGTAGCAATGTAAATTAAAATGTTGATCACAGAAACCTGATATGTTGAGAACCTTGAGAAACATAGGGAATTGGAATGTAGTGTAACAGATCGTGAGGCTAGTAAGATTTTATGTGGCTTTTTGTGCTACACTCGAACATAGATTTACATGTTAGTAATGAGATACAATTCAGAGGGGGAAAATGGAGTTCTTTTTTTTTTTAATCCATTCTTCCATTGATGGACACTTCCATTGTTTCCACATCTTGGCTACTGTAAATGATACTGCAGTGAACATGGGGTTACAGAGTTCCATTTTTGAATCATGGCTTTGCTATAGATACTATACAGGAAGAAAGAAAAGCTAGAGGCAGAGAGCTGGTTCTCAGCCTCAGCTCTGAATTGAATGATGCATAGACATTTAAAAAATATTTGGGTTCCGGGGGCACCTGGATGGCTCTCAGTTAAGTGTTTGACTCTTGATTTCTGCTTAGGTCACAATTTCATGGTTCATGGGTTTGAGCCCTGCATTGGACTCTGCGGTAACAGCACAGAGCCTGCTTCTGATTCTCTCTCTCTCTGGCTCTCTCTCTCTCTCTGCCCCTCCCCTGCTCATGTATTCTCACTCTCTCTCAAAATAAATAAACATTTTTCAAAAAGATTCAAGTTCCAGCGATTATGCTACAGTAGGTCTATGAGTAAAAGATACAAAGAAATCAAGGGTTTGAATGGATCCACTTTATACTTATCTCCTTTCACTTACTCTCTTTAATAATGTCTTTTTGTTTCTTTCCTTACTAATCTCTAGATATACTAACAACATCTATAAATTAGAATCTTGTTAAATGTAAAGTGCAGGAGCACCTGGTTGGTTCAGTCAATAGAGCATGCGACTCTTTTTTTTTTCCCTAAGTTTATTTATTTTGAGAGACAGAGAGAGAGCAAGTGAGTGAGCACACGGGCAAGTGGGAAAATGGTGGGTTAGAGAGAGAATCCCAAGCAGACTCCACATTGTCCGTGAGGAGCCAGATGCGGGGCTCAAACTCACAAACCGCAGGATCATGACCTGAGCCAAAGTTGGACACTTAACTGAGCCACCCAGGGACCCTGAGCATGTGACTCTTGATCTCAGTGTCATGGGTTTGAGCCCCACTTTGGACGTAGAGTGAAAACTAAAAACAGATTTTTTTTGTAATGTAAAGTTCAACCTACTCATAGGAAAATAGTTTTGTTTGTTTTTAAAGATTTTATTTTTAAGTAATCTCTACACCCAATGTGCGATTTCAAACTCGAAAACCTTGAGATCAGGAGTCACACATCTACCAACTGAGACAGCCAAGTTCCCTAGAAAATAGTTTTTGACCCTATATTGGATATTTTATTCTCTTCTTCACTAGGAATTATTGATTTTTTATTACTTTGAAAATAAACAGTGATAAATAATAAGGTTATAGTAAACTAAGTGAAGTCCATGTGCTGCTTTTTGATTTTTTTATTGTAAAATTCGTTTTCATGGACATTTGATTGTCTTAATTTCTATTTTTCTTTACTTTTTCCAACCTAGGTTGTAGGTAGTATGGATGCCCATCCAAGCAGGTACTGTGCCACAGTAAGAGTTCAGAGACCCCGACAAGAGATCATCCAGGACTTGGCTTCCATGGTTCGAGAACTTCTCATTCAGTTTTATAAGTCAACTCGGTTCAAACCTACTCGTATCATCTTTTATCGGGATGGTGTTTCAGAGGGACAGTTTAGGCAGGTTGGTTGTCTGGGATCTCATCATTCTGTGGTTAAATCAGATACTATGTTTATAATATGGTATCTAGTTCTAAAGTTAGAAGCCTTAATTAGGTTGAAAATTCTCAAAGTCAAAATTTGATGCTGCTTTAGATTTTCCCTTCTAAAAAGTTTACTATGGATGTGTAAGCCTTGATTGCTAAGATCATGCTCTGATAATATTTAAGATATAATAAAGAAGTATATTTAACTATAGGTGATAAGATTAAGAAATCTGGAAACTAAATTATGATCTTACTTTGAAGTATGTATAAGAGAACACCTGACTATATCAAATCTTTCCATTCCATCTCCTCTAGGTATTATATTATGAACTACTAGCAATTCGAGAAGCCTGCATCAGTTTGGAAAAAGACTATCAACCTGGAATAACCTACATTGTAGTTCAGAAGAGACATCACACTCGATTGTTTTGTGCTGATAGGACAGAAAGGGTAATTTTACATCTGTTGTAATGCTGTTATAAGACAGACTTACCTCAGATAGCTCATAGAGCACTTACCAGAGGCTCTCTGCCAACCAAAGGTTCCAATATATAGTAGCAGATTTCAGCATAGCAGATGATGAGTATAAAAGCATCCAAATAGGTTGTTACTTTTTAATTTTCTAGAATTTCTGTTAATGCTCCAAGTATTTAAAACCCTGTTAATGCTTTTTGTTATTGTGAAGAAACTCTTTGTTTTGTTTTTTTGTTAAGGATGGGAAAATCATTTTTTAATTTTATTAATATTTTTTGAGAGAGAGAGTGGGGGAGGGGCAGAAAGAGAGGGAGAGAGAGAATCTTAAGCAGGGCTCAATCTCAGTGACCAGAGATCATGACTTGAGCCAAAATCAAGAGTCCCAGACTCTTAATTGACTGAGCCACCCAAGTGCCCTGAAGCTCATAGTTTTAAAATTGTTCTTTCTATTCCAGTATGTCTTGAATGTTCAAAGGGAATAAGATACATTCATTTTTTAAAATATTTTATAAAAATTAGTTTTTTTAAAAGCTAAGGACTTGGGGCACTTGGGTGGCTCATTTGGTTAAGTATCAACTTCGGATCAGGTCATGATGTCACAGTTCATGGGTTTGAGCCCCACATTGAGCTCTGTGCTGACAGCTTAGAGCCTGGAGCCTGCTTTGGATTCTGCGTCTCTCCCCCTCTGTCCCTCCCCTGCTTGTGCGCATGCTCTCTCACTCTCTCTCCCTCTCTAAATAAGCATTAGAAAAAAAATTTTTTTTAATCTAGGGACTTTCTAGAGTGATTAGTGGAAATTTATGCAATCCAACTTTTAAATAATGCTTCCTTTAAAATTCACAGAATTTTTTTTAAGATTCTATTTTTTGGGGGCATCTGGATGGCTTCGTTGGTTAAGCCTCTGACTTCAGCTTAAGTCATGATCTCACGGTTCATGAGTTCGAGCCCCACATCAGGCTCTGTGCTGACATTTCAGACCCTAGGGTTTGCTTCAGATTCTATATCTCCCTCTGTCTCTGCTCCTCCCATGCTCACACTCTGTCTCTTTCTCACTCAAAAATAAATAAACATTAAAAAATTTTTAAATAAAGGATTTTATTTTTTAATGTCTCCTTTTTTATAATGTGTATTTGTTTTAAGACCGAGAGAATGAGTGCTAGCTGTGGAGGAGCGAGGCGGGGGGGGGGGGCGGGGGGGGAGAATCCCAGGCAGGCTTCACACTAAGCACAGAGCTAGACAGGGGCTCAATCTCATACTCAATCTCATAAACTCTCATAAACTGGGAGATCATGACCTGAGCCAAAACCAAGAGTCAGACACTTAGCCAGCTGAACTTCCCAGACATCCCAGAATGTCTCTTTTTTGGTTTTTTAATGTTTGTTTATATATTTTGAGAGAGAGAGAGAGAGAGCACGTGCACGTGCACGTGCACGTGCAAGCAGGGGAGGAGCAGGGAGAGAAGGAGAGAGAGAATCCCAAGCAGGCTCTGCAGAGCTTAACACAGGGCTTGATCTCAGGAACCACAAGATCACAACCTGAGCCGAAATCAAGAATAGGATGCTTAATGACTGAACCACCCAGGCACCCCAAGATTTTATTTATTTTTAAGTAATTTCTGTACCCAATATGGGTCTTGAACTACCCTGAGATTAAGAGTTGCATGCTCTACTGACTGAGCCAGCCAGGTGGCCCCTCACAGAATTCTTTTTTATATTTTGTAGTATGACTATGTATATTTATAATGAGGAGGAGGTGTAAATATCTAGGGAAATCTGTATTCTTGTCTCCATGCAGCATAGGGAAGTAGCAGTCTTGCTGTCATTTCCAGTGCTCTGTCCCCATCCTTCAAACCATGGAGCAGAGAAATCTGAGAATTGCAAGTGTTAGTGTCTCCTTGGGGGAAGGGTTCAACAGAAAAGACAGAGAGAAGTGTATGTTGGGTTTGGGATATATTTTGTCTTTGGTTACACTCTCTGCCTAACTTTGGGAAAGTGACTTAACATCTCTGTGCCTGTTTCCATCCCAGCAAGGTTTGAGTGATAGTAATTTCTTCCTTATTTTATTTGTTAAAAGGATTAAATAAATAAAAATATGTAATATACCTAAGACAGTGCTTGGCACATACATACGAAGCACACAGTAAATGTTAGTTGGTTGTAGAGTCGTGGTGATGGTGGCAATGATAGAGGAGAAGAAATCATCATAGCAGACATTGTTCTAGGTATTTATTACAAATTTAACTAATTTAATCCTCACAACACTATGAGGTATTTATTATTATCATCATTTTCCACAGGAAGAAACGGGGGCATATGAGGTTAAAGAACAAGGTTACAAAGCTAGTCATTGGTAGAGCCTAGGACTCCAATCAGGCACAAATCAGGCACTCTGGCACCAGAATGCTCATAACCACTATTAACCTCTCTTATTAGAGAGAGAGTAGAGTAGTGTTAGTTTTTTATTGTGGGCTTTGCCCCAAATTTCTACATACATTTTTGTACCTGAAAAACCAGATGTTCCTTCAAAAGCAGAATTAGGAAAACCTAAGTTAGATTTAATGATTACTAGCATCTAATGTTTAATCATGCTAGTCCTTCCTTTGTCTGCTTCTCTTTCACCTTTGCTCTAAATACTAATAATAGATGAGAGGTAATTATAAATGAGGAAACCAGCACAAAGAGGTAAAATACTATCCCCTAGTTAGCACAGCTAGAAACCGGTGAAGCTGTGATATGAACCCATTCTGCCTCTGTAAGTAAAGTAAAACTTTATGTATGTTAATTTGATTTGTGTATTAAGAACAGGCATAATTTAGTTGATTATGAAGTGTTTTCTTTTTTTTGTGCTTAGTGAAGGCTAGCTATAACATAGCTACACAGCTATAACTCATGCCACTACCTGATTGTAGTCCCTTGCATGTAGAAAGAATGTCTGAGTCAATAAAGTAGTTTTAATTTGCTAACCTATAAACCTAGACTTAGAATTACTGGTTTTAAATGTTAGACATACAGAGGTAGAGGTGAGTATACATATGCATTTTAAAGTGTTTTATTACAAACCTTTTGGGGCTCCTGGGTGGCTCAGTTGGCTGAGCGTTCATCTTCAGCTCAGGTCATGATCTCACAGTTCGTGGGTTCAGGCGCCACATCGGGCTCTGTGCTGACAGCTCAGAGCCTGGACCCCGCTTCAGATTCTGTCTCCCTCTCTCTGCCCCTCACTCATTTGTGCTCACTTGATCTCTCAAAAATAAATAAACTTTTTTTAAAAAGCCTTTCACTATCAGAAATTTTGAGCCATTTCAGTCATATTCGCATCGTCTCCATGCATAATGTTGGCTTCCTTACAAGATGTTGAAACTGCTAGTATGAAATAAAAGGAATAGGGCCTTTGCAGTCAGTCCCATATTTCACTACCAGTCCTGTCCTTTATTGTGTGCTGTTCAGCAAATTATTTCATATTCCTGAACCCAGGTTTCCCAAACAGGTGAGAATAATACCTGACTCATGGGATTATTAGGATTAGAAATAATGTATGGTAAGTGCCTGGCACATGGTGACTACTGTTGATGTTATCAGCATTCTTGCTCTCTAAAAATATAGTGTTTTCCAAGGAAAATGCTAGTTTCCATAAATTACACATTCAAGAGTGCCTGCTGTTCACAGGTACCATAAGTTGGAGCAGTTAAAGTAGATTTGGGTTTTTTGGTTTTTATTTTTATTTCTTTTGGGGGAGGGGGAGAAAGGGAGAGAATCCCAAGGCTCTACAAGGTCAGCATACAGTCTGTTGGGGCTCAATCTCCCAAACCGTGAGATCATGGCCTGAGCTGAAACCAAGACTTGGAGATTTACCTGACTGAACCACCCAGGCGCCCTAAAGTAATTTTTTAAAAAATTTTTTGTGTTCCACCCATGTTGGGATCACCTGCTAGCTAAGCACCAACAGACACTAGTAACTCTTTGTTGTTTATCAGCTCTCACTTTCAGCACCATGTAAGAATAGGAGCCAGGATATGGGAACCAACTTGACAATAAACTATTTAAGAAAAAAATTAAAAATAAATTTAAAAAAAAAGAATAGGAACCAGGACTAGAATAAGGTCTGCTGTTCATGCCTGCTCAAGTAATATTTCAAGCTAAAAGTAGTGAAACACAGGATCAGTCTATTATATTTACACATTTTTTAAAGTGCTTTTAGATACATTCTTTACCTTTGTCTTGTTTGTTTAAACTTTGACCAAATAATCTAGGTTGGAAGAAGTGGCAATATCCCAGCTGGAACAACAGTTGATACAGACATTACACATCCATATGAGTTTGATTTTTACCTCTGTAGCCATGCGGGAATACAGGTAAGCCTACACTTCCGGTGAAATGTTCTAATTCAAGAACTTCCATTCTTGCGTATGTTCTTTTAATTGAGAGAAACACTGTTCTCTGCACTCTAAATTGTTTCCATATGAAATTAGATGAAACTTACAGTAAATAAATTTCTTCCCCTTTCTTACCTTGAGGGGAGGGGCTTACTTCTAGTAAAATACCAGAATATGAGTAGTTTAATAGAATGAATCTCTCCAAACTGGGTCCTCAATTTAACCTGAAACTTCAAAAATGTTAAAGTACTTGATTCTTCCTTTGACAGTTGCTTCTTTTTTATAATATTACTTCATAGAGAACTTCGGTATTTATTGGCAGATATTGAGCATGTGGAAGTTTAAATAAATTTGCAGCTTTAAGTTTCAATGAAATAATTTTAAGAACCTTACTTTTTTCATAAAATCACGTTATTAATCTGTTAGCTTTATTACTTAGTAGAACATAAGCTTTATTTATTTTAAATGAATCTTCTCTTTCATTTATTTAGTTAGTTATTTTGAGAGAGCGAGAGCGTAAGCTTGAGTGGGGAAAGGGTAGAGAGAGATGGGGAGAGAAAGAATTCTGAGCAGGTTCCAAGTTGTAAGCGTGGAGCCCTATGTTGGGCTCGAACTCATGAACCGTGAGTTCGTGACCTGAGCCGAAGTCTGACGCTTAACCAACTGAGCCACCCAGATGCCCCAAACATAAACTAATTCAGTGCTCCTTGAACTTCTCAACAACAGGGTGAACCCACATTCCGAGGATGCCTGACAAAATGTCAAATATTTTAGGTTACTTGCCATTGATTAAAACAAATTTCAGGGAAGATGCACTATACTGAACAGCTGTATCTTAAAGCTTTGTATGTCCCTCATACACTAACCCTTGTTCCACTCTTAACAGCTTTAAAATTATTATCCCACTCATTCATCTGTGTTTTTATATCTGCTTCTCTTCACAATCAGTGTTAAACATTTCCACTGTGGGTGGTAACAGTCATTTAGCAAAACAAAGTTAAAAGTACCTTCCAGAAATAAAATCTCTGGAAATTGGAGCACATGTTTTTTAACCTAGTGTCTCTGCCCATGTGTCCCACGGAACACTACTGCTATGACTCCTCAATAAATATTACAGGAAAGAAAAAAAGATGCGCTGTTCAGATGAATTCTGGAGATGCTGGTTAAACAGAATTTTTTACTGTAAATTTTTGTATACCACTGATAGGCAAATAAATGGTCATTATGAATCTTAAAGACACAGGTATTTCCATAGTTTATTTAACCAGCAGTTTTAGGGACCAGTCTTCTTTTAGGACCCTAACCTGAAACTTTGTTCTAGTCAGCAAGTAACCAGGAACATTTCACAAGGACTAAAGATGTTTTTTTACACATCTCGTCACCTTTTTTAGAATTTTCAAACTTCTCAGAGATAAAAACAGGAGTCTTTGTTCTGTTTTGTTTTAGGAGTCTTTGTTTTTTGCCAGCCAAAATTAAAAACCCAATCATTTCTAACCACTATAAAAGAATATTTTTTCATGTCATTATTTTTAACTTTATCAGTGATTAACAGACCCTTCAACAACATTTTGACGAAATTCCATAACTTTTGACTCTTTTATTGGTCTTATTGGTACTGTTTCCTCCTTTCTGCGTTTTATTTTGAGGTAAAATTCCCACTCATTTTTAAAACTTAAGTTTACAAATCAAGTCAAAGCTTGCTGCTTCCTTTCACCCTTTACCAGCCCAGATCAGGCTAGAGCTTTGGTCCTGGTAACTTTGAGTAGAGGTGGGGACCATGGACTGATTCTGAGATACCTCTTTCCCCTCCTCCTTCAGGTACTCTAACTCATCTGGTATTGCTGCCAGTCTGCTAGTATTTAGGAGCTCCTGCTCTTCTGCTCACTTTCATTCCCTTAGGCTCCTAAAACTGTTTCCAGTAATTCTCACCATTCCAGCCCTATGGAGTTGGCAGAGTGGGCCTGTGGGCTCTGAGCTCAGGAAATGTCCAGCTGGGGCATGAGATAAAAGTCTCCCTTTCCAGCGGGCTCTTATCTTTATAATGAATTCTTCTGGAGCTCCCATTATTGTGTCTTCATGGGAGAGAGTATACCTTTCCTCACAACTGCAGTTCCAGGTTTTCACAAAACGTGTAGTCTTTTCATCTACTGGGAGGATGGGAATTAGGTGAGAAGAGGCCAGAGCCAGGGAACTGATGGTAAGACCTGTCCTGACCTGGCTCTTCTCAGTGAGCCCTTGAGGAGAAGTGGCTGGCTCCAAATATTGGTAATTCTTAAGAGTGTGAGATGCCCAGCACCTTTAGTCCTCTCCTTCGGACCCTCGTTGAAATTCCAGGACAGCAGGGGAGTAAAACGCCACCTGACATACTGTTAGAAATGTGTTAACTGAAGGGAGCCTGGGACCCCTCTGAGCCTCCAAGGGAGTTCTCCTAAAGAGATAAATGCTCCCTGTTGAGGAATCGCAGGCAGTGTCCTAAATTAAAATTTCCTGATACAAATCACCACAACTTCAAAGATATCCTTCACTATTGTTTAACAATCCTTTGACTCTTCTTTTTGTTAGCTCTTAATACCATTTTCCATGGGTCTCTAACCTTGGTCTCTTGCCCTGACACTCAGAACATGACCGCTTCCTTTTACTAAGAAATTATAATTTACTAAGAAATTATACGGTCAGTGATGCCTGCTTTCTTCTCTCCTTTCTCACAGGAGGAAATGTTCAGTTATAGTGTTGTTCACATTCACTCTTGCCTGACTCAAGTTGGTCTCAGTTCACCAGTTACCCTTCTTCCTCATCTTCAGTCTATTCCAAGATTCTGATCCCATTCCCTTAGCTGACACTTTCCCCATCCTAATATACAGTTCCTTGATCCTGTATTTCCTTTCAAGTTATTCTCTCATATATTTCTTCCATTTGTAACCAAACTATTCTTAAAACAAGAGCCTAAAGACACTCACTTGAAATTTAAAGAGACAAACAATATTAAGGATATAAGAACAACTGAAACTTTACATTTTGCCAGTGTGAGTGTAAATTAACATGAACATTTTTGAAAACTGTCACTATCTACTGAAGTTAAATACATGCATACTCTATGACCCAGGATCTCTACTCCAAGATAGCCAACAGAAATACATATCTATGTTCACCAAAGGACAGTATGTTAATGCTTATAGAAGCACTGGTCATAGCCAGAAACTACAAACAGTTCAAATGCCCACAGTCAGTAGATTGGAGAAATAGTGTATATTTATACAACAAAATATTCTACAACAAAGAGAATGCTGCAACAATATGGATGGATTTCACAAACAGTGTCAAACCAAGGAAGTCATACCCGAAGGGCACATGTCTGTGATCTGATGATGTGATTTATTATAAAGTTCAAAAGCAGATATAATCTTCAATGTCACCTATAATGTTAAAAGTTCAGTTACCAGGGGCAGGGTAGACAGGATGGTGACCACAGAAGGGCACAAAGGGATTTCTTGATTGCAGTTAATGTTCAACTTCTTGATTTGGGTGCTGGTTTCATGGGTATTTTCGTGGGTATTTGTGAACATTCCTCATTCTGTACACTTATGGTCCATGTGCTTTTCTCTGTGTATTTATATTTCTGTAAAATGTTTACATTAAGAACAGAAGAGACTACAATTGGCTGTGTCCTCTTCAATTTATACCAACCTGCCACTGCTGCTCCTTGAACTCTCCAACATCTGATACTGTTGTCACTCACTCATTGGAACCATCCACCATTTGACTTCAATGCACATTTTTCTCTTTTCATCTTGCCTTCCCATTTGTTCTTGGTTTAGCTTAAGTTTTTAAGTTAAAATATTTATGAGTTTGGAATCTTTTTACAGACACAGTTTTTCTTCTAATTTCCAGACCTTGAGGCTGTTTTTGACTTACACCCTCTCACCTGCCACCCTTCTCTAATCTACTCCTCAACCCTGTAGAATTTACCATCTCACTCTCAGACTTTTCTCATCCTCACTTCCGCTGCTTTGTTCCAGCTCTCATTATTACTTTTCCTCTACAATTGCAGAATGACTGCCCTCATTTAATCTGTTCTCCCTCAGATTAATTAAAACATAAGTAAGACCCTATCATTCATCTACTTAGTGCTACATATCCATTGAAGTTAAAGTCTCATTTTCTTAGGACATCATGCATACTCAAGTCCTGATGTCTACATTCTGCTGTCTTCACTTCTGCTACACCCTCAGTCTGTCTTGCTTTTTTCTCCTATTCCTTCCTCCTTTCCTCTCTTTTCCTCCTCCTCTCTATCTCCTCCCTTTCACATACACAAACACACATAAACACAAGACTGCAGCAATTCTAAACTGTCTTTAGGTAGTTCTCATAGCTCTCTCCTGCCCATGTCGCTCCCTTACCTTAATTATTACTTCCCAAACTTACTCCTATTCATCCTTTAAGACTCATCTTGAGCATCAGCTCCTCCCAGAGCCTTTCTTAATATCCTTTCCCAAGACAAATGTCCCTCCTCTACACTGCCTGAGCACCCTATGCATGCCTCTTTGTGGCATTCATTAGACAGCATTGTAACCATACTTCTGTTTCTCTCCCTCTCCCACTTAGTCTATAAGGTCCCAAAAGACAGAGGCTACTCATTCATTGAGTACTCTATCATTCAGTCAACAGATATTTATTGTGTCTACCTCCTAGAAGATAGGTATTGATGTTAGGTATACAGAGTGAACAAATAAATACAATCCCTCATTTTTATAGTTTATAAGGGAGAGGGGGAGACCTACTAAGTAAGTAATCTCACAAATACATATTTATAAATTGGAATAAGCCTAATAAAGGAAAAGTAAAGCCAGAAAGAGATTTTAGTGGGGACCTGATATAGGTTGGGAGATCACATTTGAGAAATGACATTGAAGATAAAGTGAAGAGGAATAAGTAGGAATTAATCAAGCCAAGAAGGGGAAGAAAATCCCTGCCAGAGGCACATAGAGGCTCTTTGGTAGAAAAAAAAAACGTTATTCATTGACGGAATCAAATGGAGGCTGTGACCGCAGCATGAGGGTAAGTTAGACTAGCCTGGGCTGAATTATACAGGCCTTGTCAGGCAGAGATGAGCACCTGGATTTTAGAGTGCATTGGAAAGCCATTAAGAGATTTAAAGCTGGACATCAACATTATTAGGTGTATGGTGTGTGTGTGTGTGTGTGTGTGTGTGTGTGTGTTTAATTTTTTTTTTTTTTTTGGATTATTTTTGAGAGGGAGAGAGACAGAAAGCAGGCAGGGGAGGGGAAGAGGGAGAGGGAAACATAGAATTGGAAGCAGCTTCCAGGCTCTGAGCTGTCAGCACAGAGCCCGACATGAGGCTTGAACCCATGAACCATGAGATCATGACCTGAGCCAAAGTCGGACGCTTAACCGACTGAGCCACCCAGGTCCCCCTGTGTGTGTGTGTTTTAATTTATTCTTACTGAAATTCAAATTCTACTGGAATCTTGCACAGTGTCTAACAAATGATGCTCAAATACTTGTTAAAGTATTAACTCCTTTTTCTCCTTTTCTCCCTTGCCACTGCCATTTCTTAGTTCAGCTCTTCATCATCTCATGCTCAAACTAATGCACCAGCTTCCTGGCTGCTCCCCTTGCTTTCAGTCTCTTCCTGTTTCTTTTCTTTTTTTCTTTTTAATGTTTATTTATTTTTGAGGAGGGGAGAGAGAGAGAGAGACAGAGTGTGAGCGGGGGAGGGGCAGAGAAAGAAGGAGACAGAATCCAAGGCACAGGGCTCAAACTCACGAACCATGAGTTCATGACCTGCTCTGAAGTTGGATGCTTAACCGATTGAGCCACCCAGGTGCCCAAGTTTCTTACTATTCCTAATCCAACCTCCATGTTATTGCTGTTACTTTAATGAAACCCTAGTCTCATCCCACTAAAGTCTCTCTTGTTTAAAAAAACACCAAAAAAACCAATATGCAGTACTTTCCCTGCTGCCTATAGGTAGAAGTCCAAATTCTGAGGCATGTCATTCAATCTGATTCCAAACTTTATTTTCAGACTTCATCTTTTTTCCTTTGTGCACCATACTCTGCTCATACGAGTCTGTTAGGTATTCCCCCTGTGTTTTTGGTAAGCCTGTTTATTCTTTCTGGCATCTCCTCACCCTAACCACCCAAAAATGGCAAAATCTCACTCTCTCCCCTTCCCCTTGGTGAAGAACCAAGGCTTACCCCCATAATTACTTCCTTTGGTATTCTCATAATACGACTAAGTGCCAGTAGTACTATAGCTTTTATTAGCTTTTTTTTTTTTATTGTAGATGCTGTAACTCCTCTACTAAATTATGTTTTCCAAAAGAAAGGAAACCTTTGACTTTGTTTTTCTTTGAATCTGCAGCATCTAACATAGTATCTAATACAGAGGAACTCAACTAAACGTTCTGGGTTTTTTATTATAGTAAAACTTAATAACAACTTACCATTTTAACCATTTCTGAGTGTACAGTTCTGTCACATTAAGTATATTCATATTGTGTCCAGCAATACCACCATCTGTCTCCAAACTTTTTCATCTTCCTTGATACTCTATACCCATCAACACTTAACTTCATTGCCCTTCCCCCCCACACCCCTGGTCACTGGCAACCACCATTGCCCTTTCTGTCTTTCTGAATTTGACTTCTCCATTTACCTCATATGAGTGATTCATACAGTATTTGTCCTTTTGTGACTGGTTTATTTCATTTAGCATTATGTCATCAAGGTTTGTCCAAGTGTCAGAATTTTCTTCCTTTATAAGGCTAAATAATAGTCCATTGTATATATACCACATTTTACCCATTCTCCCATCATTGGAGCCTTGAATTGCTTCCACCTGTGGGCTATTGTGAATACTACTACTATGAACAAGGGTGTACAGATACCTGTTTGAGTCCCTGCTTTCACTTCTTTTGGATATATACCCAGAATCAATTAAATAAATAGAGTATGTTTTATTTTTACTAATGTACGGAGCTTAGTTATAACTTAGTCCGTGATGAGTATTTATTTTAAATGTTTAAAAATCAACAGAATATGCCATTGCCTTCTCTACAGGGTACCAGCCGTCCTTCACACTATCATGTTTTATGGGATGATAACTGCTTTACTGCAGATGAACTTCAGCTGCTGACTTACCAGCTCTGCCACACTTACGTGCGCTGTACAAGATCTGTTTCTATACCTGCACCAGCGTATTATGCTCACCTGGTAGCGTTCAGAGCCAGATATCATCTTGTGGACAAAGAACATGACAGGTAATATAAAAGCACAACAAAAACACATTCTCACCCAAAACCAAGTATGAGTCAGCATGTTAGGATTTTCTTGTGAAATTTCTTCTAAGTGTTTCCATGTATGTGCCTCTGCCACAAGCTGTTAGAGGACTCAGCAGTCCATATGAAAAGCAAGGATAGGCAGAACTGACTGCCCAAGATAAGGGTTCCATTAAAATGTGCACCTTAGGCTTATTAGTACTAGAATGGTATAGTGATTTAGTTGCTTTACCAGATTAATTCAAGGGAGAGATCATTGCTAACAGACAGAATGATGGTATGTCTGAGATTTGCTTCTAAACCATCCTGGGGAGGTGAGAGAAGTAAAACAAAATTGGCCTTGGGTTAACTATTATTGAAGGTGGGTGATAGAAATGTTCATCAGGTCAGCCTCTATTTTTTAAAATATTTTTAAATAGTTTTGAAATTTTCTGCAAGTAATATTTTTCAAAATTACTGCATCAGAATAGGGTTTGTTCTTGTGTTCATTGCCACTTCTCTTACAGCGCTGAAGGAAGTCATGTTTCAGGACAGAGCAATGGGCGAGATCCACAAGCTCTTGCCAAGGCTGTACAGATTCACCAAGATACCTTACGCACAATGTACTTTGCTTAAAAAGTCCAAGAATATTCTCTGAGAGGAAGAATTGAGAGATGCATTGACATACAGCGTATGTTTCCAGTGGAGTCAGTTGAGTGGGAATGCCTCCAGCCATACAGCAACCAACACTGTGTGGGGACCAGGGTCTGATTTTTATGTTAATATAAGGAAGATTGTTTACTTCATCAAGGAACACAGCACCATTATGCAATATGAAACCAGCCAACTGCTTTTTTGTGCGGTCTCCTTAGGAAGTATCGCCATCATTTTGTTTTCACTTTCTTGTAGTCTAACCCTTTTAATGCCTTTACCTCAAGTTGCTTGGCAGCACAACTATCTTTGCAAAAAAAAGTAAAGAAAAAGTAAATGATGGTTTAAAAAAAAAACACACCTTACATGAATAATCAAAGTGATTGTTCACAATTATGTGTGCAAAAAAAATTAATGTGCATTCATGTATTCTTGTGAAAGGTATCTGTGTATATTTTAAATATATACATGTATACTTCATATGCATATATATCTGGATCTACAGTGATAGTAGATATATATGTGTCTGTATTTTATAGTTCATTCCATCTGGGAGCTTTCTTCCCCTTTTATCATCCTCCTACCACCCCTTTTGTTTCTCTCTACCTCCCTCACCTCATCACCTACATTTTTTTTCCTGATGATGCTACCAGTGACATTCACATGTTCATGTATCTGGTTCATTTGGATATGAAGCATGGCAAACTAGATTTTTATTTTTATTTTGCACGCCCTACTCCTGTCTCTTCTCATACACAATTCTGAGTCCTCAATTCTTGATAATTGCTTTCTTAAACAAAATTATTACACACACACGTGTGTGTGTGTGTGTGTGTGTGTGTATACACACATATATATGAAGTTTCTATGAGAGTGTCTGCCCCCTCCTGCTCTGAACTTACATTTGCCATTTGTGCAATGTGTACATAAGCAGTAGCAATCTTGAACTATTCTCTTAAACTATTCTTTTTCTTTAGTTTGTTAAAGCTGCTATAAATATAAAGCCTTGTCAGAAGTTGTAACTCAGAAATTTCTCTGTAAGTGATGAATTCTAAAGCCTTCTGTTTCTATGGGTATTACATGAAAGTCCCTTACAGCTTTTGTAAAGGGCAAATATTTTAAATGATGGAAACTCTTTAGGGTTGAGGCCTCTGAAATTGAGTGGAAAGAGAGAAGGGGTTGCTGAGGGTTTTTTAATTTTAATTTTTTTTTTTTTTGCTAGTTTACTTGCTGCCTCTCATACCTTAATGTGATTTTCATATATATATTTTTATATATATGTGTGTATATATAAATATATATGTATGTGTTTTGAAGTACAGCTTCCTTTTCTTTTATATTTATTAGAATAGTGCTTTAATTAGAGAACTGTATTGGCAACATCTTTTATAGAAATGTAATCATGTTTATTTTAAGAACTGACAACGTGTTTTGCTGTCTTTTAGTGCAATAAGCAGTTTTAAAGGAAAGGTGTGTCTGTTTGATTTCTTTACCACAGATAGGTGGAGAAACAGACACCTCCATGATTTTAAAAGGGCAAAGTAATACAGCCTTAATTTCAGAAGGAAAGTTTTGTAATTTTTCAAGTTTAAAGCATGTCTTTTAAAAATCCTAATGAAAATGAAGGAAGTTAAATTTCCTAAATGAGTCTGATCTTAAATATTAGAGATAGAGTTGAACTTTAAGAAATGACAGCGAATAGTGGCTCAGTTGGTGGAGCATGTGACTTTTGATCTTGGGGTTGTGAGTTCAAGCCCCGTGTTGGGTGTGGAGCCAACTTTTAAAAAAAATGACAGTGAATAACTTAAGATTTAGAAGACATTTAATTTTTTGAAAATAGATCATGTTTATCGAACAATTATACTGGTTAGGTGCCCGTTTTTATTTATGAAAATGAATTAAGAAAATGTAAAATGATATTTTTAAAACATTTTTTGCCAATTTATCACCAGTATAACTTTCCTTTTAAAATTAGGGTTATGGTTGGCAAAGGAGGTTAGGACTTTGATCATTTTAAATGAGTTAAATCACTGAACTACAGAAAAAGTTTTACAAAACTTTGGTTTTATTGATTTCATTTTAAGGTATTAAAAAGTATTATAGAGCTGTCAAAATCAAGGTCATCAGTAACATTGGATTCAGGGGAGCTTTGCACTTTGTAACTCATAAAAATTACATTTTAATTTCTTTATTTTTTGCACTGGTTCAGAATATAGATATTACAGATTGTTTCCAGTGGGCATTGTTAAACCTTTCAGAATTCCATCTGCACATGATATCAAATGGATTAGCTCTTTAGTTTCTCTCTCACCTGTAATCCACTCTTATTGCCAATTTACTGTATTTTGAGCCTAAAGTCTGAGCCCATATCCTCCAACAGGTATGAAATCTTTTGTTCCTCTGCCAGAAAACAAAGAAAGTACTGTATTTTGTATGTTTATTATTATTGAAGTGTCTGAAATGCAATTTACAACACTGTTTCAAAGCTCTTTACATGAAGTAATATTTGTATAGTCTATACATTTTTTCTCCCAACCCTGCCCCTTTCCTCCAAAAATTTCCTATAAAGCATGTATTTTTTTTTTACATTGAAATTTCACTGAGTATAGTCAGGAACGTAAACAGGAAAAGAAAATAGTTTATCCTAGATGGTAAAAACTTGATTGTTATATGCTTGCTCAGTATGAGTAAAACACCCTCCTTTACCAGTGGGAGCATGTGGGAAACTCTCAGGCCCAGGGAAGAACTGTAGATACCATTTGCGTATTTAGTGCTTCACCTAGATTTCAGTTTGTTTTTCCATGTGCTAGAATGAAACCCATAATTTAAATCTATTTGGAAGAACTTTTACTAAGGAAAAAAAACTTTTTTTAATATAAAGCTTTACCTTTGAAGTGAGTTCTTTTGTAGGGTTTCTTTCTTACGGTTTCAACATTGCTAGTTTAAGGTTGGTTAACTTGAAAGAATATGTATAGTATATTTCTATTTTGCTTACTAACAAATTGGTATATCAAACTTAATTAAAAGGAACCTTGTGCTTAGAATTTTAAGATAAAAGACTAAGTGGCAAATACTTTTGAAATTTGTTTTAATTATTATTGCACTTCTGGTATAGAATTCCTGATCTTTTTTTATTAAAAAAAAAAGATTGTTTTGAATTTAAAGGTCATGAAACTCAACAATGACCTTTCTGTTCCTGCCTTTGCTCACTAAACTATATAATGAATGCTAAATTTTGGTCTGCTGTTTTTTATGATGCATAAGAGTTACTTTAAAATGTCAGTCCCAGCCACTGGTATAATTGGTTTTCATGAGAAGAAGAGTTGGGAGTTTAATGTATATTCTGGATGGCAAATGTGTCTGGGTAAAGTGCTGATACATGTTATTACAGTATCAAGTTACTGGCATTGAGGACCATATATTTATAATACTGTAGCTGCTATATTTATTTAATTAAGTAGAGTCTGACATTTACTGCACTAAACAATAAGGAGATGAGCAGGATTGGAGGCTAGTGTTAAGACACACACCCCTTTTTTTCCTAAATAAGATTAAGAACATGAAATAACAAGGTAACAAAGGGTGCTGCCATTTTAGTTTCAACTTAATATCAGGATTCTCTGTTTTAGAAATGCAGATTTTTACGTTAGCTGTTTTGCAAAAGGGTACCTCAACCTCCTCAGTACTGGTTTTGGCATATTTTCACAGAAGTACAGCTGCCCTTTATTTTTTCTTAATATTTTACCTTTTAACAAGTTTCTCAGAAAAAAAAAGTTCTTATATGGAAATCTACCCGTTTGTAATCCATTAATTTATTTTTCTTTCTAGAAGACTCTAGAAGGGATTCTAGTAGGAATGTACCGGGTGTTTTGGAAGGCACTAGATAAAGATTCATCTCTACTTTCTGGCATAGGGACTACCTAGCCTTCTGAAGACCTATACTAGCTTTCCAAACTAGGTTCTTTGATGACCCACCACTGCCTAATGTTTACTTGTATATGCTGTAATGGATTTTAGCATGACAGACCGCATGGCAGGCTTAAAGGAAAGAAATTCTGAGTTGCCTTTCAGTAGAAATGGCTGGCAGAAGATCTCAGTGTTTAAGGAAGAGGTGAACACACAGAGTGCCAGTAATAGGTCTGAAGTAATTAGATGGATTATATAGGCCAGAAATTAAAGACTGTTGGTAAAGGAATTTGATGAGTGTTTTCAAAAACTAACATGAATTTGCCATGGGGTGGTGATTTTTTTGAAATCCATGAATCTAGCCACTTAGATTCAGCTTAGAATATTTTATAGTCTTGGCTATTCAAATTTGATAAAAATATTTTGCCAAAAGGCTTAACTGACAACCCTGTATATTTTTATTCAGGATCATTAAACCTGAGTTAAATATTTGGTTAAATACTCTATTGAGATGTTCTCCTATTGAGAAGACTGGTTGTTTCTGTCAGTAACTTGATACTTAAATTACCTCTTAGGAGTTATCAGTCAAGCTGCAAAAGACATCATTGGCTTGGCATCTTTATTTTACCTTTTTTATCCATACAAAGTTTCAATCCTTTGCATTCTTGAGACTTCTTAGAGGCCTCCGCGAGTGGTGGTATAACCCTGGCTCTAGAGTCTTGTCTTTATTTTGCTGTTTCCCTCCCACTTGATCATATAAAACACTTTTGTGATTCTGTAGGAGTCAAAAAATAAGCCAAGAATTGATGTGTAAAATCAGAAAGTAAGGGTTTTCTCCAAAAAATCTTTTTTAAAAATCCTGCTTATACTAAGAACATTCTTGATCAGTGACTGTTAGAAATGATACTATGATTAGTAAAATGTAAGCTGACTCTCAGGAGGAAAAAAATTAATCTCTCTCTCCCCTTCTCTCCCCATCCCCCACCATATATATCTCAAAGGGAAAAAATATTTTCTGACATTTTCCTACTTTTAAAAAATGGTACATTTCAGTTTATAATTTTCCATGTCAGTCAGAATAATTTTTAACTAACATATAATGGTCAAGGCTTGTGCTAATATTACCTACTGCTAGTTGAATTTTATTTTTCCTTACCCAGCAAAGAGAGTACTCTAGATTTTTACATTGTTCATTAAACCTCAAGAATCTAATACTCTTAAAGTATGGAAATTAAAGATTTTAACTTGAATTAAAGATAGATAATAAATTTAATATGGAAGGTTGAGATTTACCAGTAGGAAACCCTGTTGAAGTATCAGGTAGCAAAGAGTGTGACAAAATTAAGATCCTATTAATTAATCTGTCCAGCCATTGGTCTCCCTTCCTTTTTGAAATCAATGTCTGAAGCAACCAAAACCTAATATTGTATCTATGTTAGTGTCTCGGTAAAGCAAAGATGTTCTTCAGGGTAGATGCTGAGTTAAATTGTTAAATCTGTTTTTAAAGTAAGGCGGTTCTTAGAAAGTGCCTTTTCAGAAGACGGTGCTGTAGATTTTTATTTTTCAAATAGCACGAGACTAAAAATTTAAAAGGTAAATTATTTTAGAACTCCAAGAGTATGACAGTTTCATATAAATAATGTTATTCGTTGTCCTGAATCTGGTCCAAGGAACCAAGTAAAGGTTTCATCCAGTAAACTATCTAGGTAAATGCTCACCAAATGTATTTTTGCAAGTTCGAAAAATAAATTTTTAATAAAATTAACCCTTTCAGTTCTCAGTGTGTTGAAGGTAATTTATAAGGCACATAAAACAGCAAATCTGCTAAACTTTTTAACAAGAGTATTGGTTTAGTAACAAGTGCCCAAAAGAAAAGGTAACTTGCCAGGGAATTATGTGTCATAGCTAATTTTTTTTTTTCAGTATAGATTGACCCTTGTGTAAATATCTATTGGCATCCTTTTCTAATTAATATTTATTAAAGAAGACTGCTTATATATTAAAAGGAGAGCCAAGTCATCATGGAAACTAAGAGAAAAAGTAAAGTGACTGTAACTATCTTTAGGGAAATTTTCTTTTTAGGCACCAAGAAATACATAATTCCCTCTTTTTTCTACCATGGGAACAACTATGAAATATGATGACAGTTATGATCAGTTAATTAGATTAAGGGTATGATCAGTTAATTAGAAATGCAACATCTAAAATTGGTCTTTTGGGGGAAATAAGCAAAATGAACCATTCATACTTACTAGAAATATAGTAATCTACCAGAAAGCTGTTTTCCCCTAGGCTGTTTACTCCCCTAGTAGACAACAGTAAATGATCACCTAACCAGTTCTTGTTTGTGAGTTTGGTGAGCATTTCTCCAGAAAAGAATTGACAAAAAACACCACACCTCAGTAACCTTGTATGCTGCATTATGTAATAATGATAGTAAGATTATATTGATTGTTTGGAGTGTATTGTGTCTGTTTGCAAATATACATGCACATTAAACTTTTTCATTTTTTATAATGTCTTAATAGCAATTATGAGTTTATTTTTTTAATATTAATTTTTCTATTGTGATGTTTATATTTATTGGCAATTTGTGTGCAACTTTTATATTTTGCTTAGATGTTGGTTTTAAGGTATTTTATTTTTATAGATATTTCTAGCTTTTCCTCTTTCTTTGTGATATTAGCAAAGATTAAGATGGAATGTTAATATACCAACCAAACTACTAATTCCATAAAGTCTAGAGTTTGGATTTTTACCAATAAACCATTAACACTATTTTCTAACTTAGAATATTTAATGTTGTTTATATAGTGGGCATTAAAGACAGTCTTTAGACAGATTTCTAAACGTGGAGGGGGAGGGGGG